CCTTATCTATACCCGAAAATAGCATCAAAGAACCTTCCCTGGAAAAAAAGCTCGTTTGACTTAGCTTCGGATGTGACTGCAATCTCCCATTTGCTGTTTCAAAGTTCAAAGGAGAGAGTTTGTGCAACTGATGTAGGTTTTATTCCCTAATTTAAAATTGATACTGTTTAACCATATGATGGAAAATATTTGAAATGAGAAAGTATGAAACATACGTCGTTTTTTTTTTTTTTTTTTTTTCTGTCTTTCCAATCCTTAACCAACTTAAAATTCTCTGAACCTGCGTTAAGGTATACGCATGCTATATTAAGAATATCATGAAAAACTGAATCGAAACACATTTGGAAAGTTGCTTTGAAAAAATAGTGCTCGAAGTTGACTGTATTTTTATAACACGTTTCAAATATCTTTCGTTCTGAGAACAATGAGAGATTGACAGGCAATTATTATTTTTGAAAGAGTAGGTCAAATTCGCTGAGATAAAAAATAGAATATGAAGTAGATTCAATACAACAACAAAGAGTGAGAATAATGCTGTAACTGGTAGACCGCATATCATAACTGGAAACCAACTTCTTTTTATTCATTCGCCACACTCTCCAAATAAGTATGAGCGACAATTTCAGGGTACGCTGCATTGGTTACGTAATTCTAATGTAAAAACAAGAATTAAAGAGAAAAATCTTCAAAAGTATTGGCGAACCTTCACAAGTGTCTTATACTCATGATTCATCAGTTGAGCAACGCACTTCGTCAGAATGTCTCGATTCACTTCTAGAAGTTTTCCCGCGGTAGTGTTTGCTGCTGCGTTTCGAATGGTGACCATTGTGAAACCATCAAACCGATTATCTCGTAATCGCATACGCATTATATTCTTGAGCTATGAATTTTGTTTCAAAAGACCATACACTTCTTCAACTCTAACCACTCTCAGATTGTTCGTAATCACGTTTCCATGAAAATTAACGAATAGCATGGCAGGGCTTGTTCCACTGTCTGAACGATAATACTCAACAGTTCCCTTATTTAGCAACAGTACTTTTTACTACTTTCAAACGAATTTCTACGTAGTTGTTCAACAAATCTGCTAACTTTTCAGATAAAACAAGCTGTCCAAATATCGAATGTGTCAAGCTCTAAAACAATTGAACTCACTTTATAATTGGATCGCCCTGTCTTATTAAGAGGAAATGGAAGCAGGTATTTCGTTTTATCATTGAACGGAAGTTTGCTCATTTTCAGATAGTCGTCATAACGTAATTTACCAATGGTCTGAGTCTGTTTTTAAGTTTTCAAAATAAACTAATCAGTCTTCAGCTCTTTGTCCATTTTCCAGAACGATGAATAAATTTATTGCCACTCCTATCTGCTTGAACAATACAGGGTCCGATGATATACACTGCCTAGATTGGGAAACTCAGCTTTACATCATAGAACAATTCAATAACCTATCTGTTTCAAATTGCTCTGTTAACCATTTTTTTAAAGGCTCAAAAGAGTTGACAAGTTGCTTATATTCAGGCACACATCTACCATATCTCATCATGCCGCTGTGAAAGCAATTTAGGTGAATAAATGGGAAAAGAGAAAATATGGAAGATTTTTTCAGAAATACCTTATAAGCCCTGACACTCAAATGCTTCAACCTTCCTATAATCATAGCCTCCTGTTCCCGCCATTGTGGTAGGTTAGTGGAAAGTCTTCGAGCCACCATTTTAATATAGAACATGAGAACTCACGGATCTATTTCGGAAATCAACAGTACGAAGTCAATTATATGCCTTAGTAAGTGAACAATAGTGCCATGCTTGTAAAGCTATAATATGTTCATTGTATCAAATGAAAGATACAAACGTTGTTACCTTCAAATGTATAAAATAGAAGTCATTTATACTCTTCAATAAACTTGACAAGCAGATATCAGAAACTGAGTTTATTTGTTGTATTTTTTCATTCTTTGTTCGAAACATCCATAGGAGGGCCCTTGACGCTGCATTTAATGTTTGCGATGCTGTTCGCCTTAACTTTGTCTGAAAACAAATGAATTTTATATGACATGATAGATTAGCAACACTTACATTCAAATAAACCTCTTTCGATCTTTCCTCTCTCAATCCAAAGCTGACAATGTGATTGTATATCTGTTTCAGCAGCTGATGTTCTTCGAACTTCAGCATTTTGTTCAAATTCAGCTCTCTCAACTTCAACCGGATTGTTTGTTTCTTTCTCCCCAATGGAAAAAGTCTGACAAAATCCTGCTCATCAGGTACTGGTATGGTGATTGAACTCTACACTACTGTCATCATGAAAAATATACAAATTTGTACCTCAACTGTCACTCCAGAAACAGAAGGAGTCTTCACCAGATTTTTCATTACTAAAAGTTCATAACCAAGTAAATGTTTAAAAAAACTATACCGTCGGCACTTTCAAGGGTCAGGACATGTTCGTTTTCAATAAACGTATCGTTGTCATTGCGAGCAGTGTTTTCATCTTTCGTGTACTCTTCAGATCTTGCTGATTGTGGAGATGCTCGAGAACTCATTTTCTAGAAATGAACTTTTTTATAATTTTTAAAGTTCGAACTGAAAAAGTATAGACAACTAACAAGACTGAAAATAGAAAATTAGATGGTCGTATCTTGCAGAAAAATTAGCAAACTAATGACGAAATTTTTTACAAGTTCATCGATTTTGTCACGTGAAATGTATAAAACCTTTAGAAAAACTTTCGAAACAGTGGAGATTTTCGTTACTTTGACTACATATTAACACTATAGGCGAGACGTGTTCAGTTCCATTTATCTTGGTTAAGGCTGAGCCTGAGCCAAAATAAAGAAACGATTATTACGAGCATTAGATTTATTTCGATATTGCTACAAGAACAACTCCAATCATAGTAATACTAATTCCCAAAAGGGTTAGTAAAATGTTTTTTTTACCCTGAAAAACGGTCTTCTTTACAAGAAGGAATAAATCACTAACTTTTATTTCTTTGAAAAAAAAAAAACTCCACATTGATGCTAAGCAGCCAGGCAACATAGTTATAATTGGGAACGATATAGTCTGCGATAACAACTGATTAGCCAGAAAGAATGACGATTGAGCAATAGCCCACATTATGCCAGTTAGTGTTGATGGCAGAATCAACGATCCAGAAACGAACGGTTGACTTTTGCTTCAGTTAATAAAATTATGAATATAAACTAAGCGCTTTTCTCCTACCTCCAAATAGAATAAATAATCATCAAGAAGCAAGAAGTGATGAATATTCCTGAGTAATGAGAAAAAATGTAGTGTATTCCATTTCTTGGTGCTGTTGGGTAAATATCTGTTCTCTCGATCATGAAATTAACTGGCAAAAATGTGATTCCATAGAAAAAACCGGCGCAAACAGCCAACAGTATAGCACTAAATGTGATGATTAGCGGAACTATTAGAGATTCAGTACAGTATACGCTGAGTTTTGTCGGGTTTCTTCAGCTCATGATCATTTTTTCTTAATAAAGATTCTTCCTGATGGATGATCTCTGGAGAGTTGCCCCTTTTGTTAGGGTCTATCATCTCTACATCATCCTGGGGTGTCGACACTGTTGCTGTACTATTCACGAACGTGAAAGTGAATCCGCTTCAAAATATAAAAATGATCAGGTGAACACCGCTTCTTATCACCCTAAAACTACTAAACTCAACCCTAGGTAATTTACAGAGATATTTTCAGGAATATGCTGCTTCATTCCGAAAAACCCAAATCTGCCAGCAGCCCATCCTGCGAGACAATTCGTTGTATTCCAAATCAAGATTCCCAAAGCCATCCCTACTCTTTGAATTATTGGAACAGCCGTACTGTTGCCTAAACTCAGCTATAAACACAAAATAGATGAACTCGAAAAATTGACCGATAGCCCAGAAAAACCCTCCAAGCATTGCTAGAGGGTAGAACTTATCAAACCCATCAATAGCAAAAACAAGAAAGCCAAACAATAGTATAGAAACAGACATAACCCATTGAACGAAGAGACCTGCAAAACCTTAATTCATTCACGAATGCATTTGATCAAACCATTTCCTATATCGAGCCCTCTGATGGGAACAAACATACTACCGAAAAGTGTTGCGGAAAGAAGACAACAAGAAATACCCACTACATCTGAATCCATTCGTTTAATACTACCTGAAAATTTATTTCTATTGTAATTATAGAATCAATAAATGAATTCTAACAATATTCGTGCTTGAACTATGTTTCAACTGTTATATAAACAAACTGTGTTATGTAAAATACACCACAATCAATTTGCACAATATTCCGCAGAGCCAACTAAGTCATAATCTCATATTTCTGTCAACTTCGAGTGAAAAGATTTATTTGAACTCAGATAACATTAATGAATGACAAAACTCTAAGAAGAATCATTCACGGACATATTCACGACGGCAAACAACATTTCCAGAAGTTAGTGTAGTAATAAGACGATCACCTTCGAGCCAACGTTCGATTGAGCTGTCTTTTTCTCCGCTCTAAAATATTTTTGGTTAATCAAGAAACTCAGTCCGAAAGTTAGAAGTTGACCTTGATCGCTTTCTGCTGATGAATCAGTTTACCGTTAACTAATTCAACTTTCGATTTCATTTTTCTTCCATCCGGAGTAGTCTCGTCGAACTCCTAACAGAAACTTCATTTACTTAATAGCACAGAAACGCATACCTCTCCAATATTGAATTCAAGTGTAGTGTTTTTGAAGGTGGATTCTTGGTTACAAGACCAATGGTCACCCTGAAAAATATGTTATAGAGATAAAATGAGTTAGAAAGATACATCAATCTTTATAACGAGGGTAGGCTTTAAAGTAGCTGCAGCTTTCCGAGTGAGCAATCCGACGCCAACTTCCTGTAATATATTCTCATTAAAACGTTTTCGAAACACAATCTCACAGCCATATACTCGTCGAACTTGTCGCTCTTGTCAAGCTTCCAGCGCCCAGCGAAGTTAGTCATTGCTGAAAGAAGAAAAGGTCTGTATAGCAGAAACGTAACTAAAAGATACTGAAATCAGCGTAGAAGAAAGAACAGTGAATGAGATGCGCCAGCGTGGCATATCTACGAAACTTCTTTATCTAAGATAAGACAAAGACGTGGCAATCTTTCAATATCAATCTGCAAAATCTTGATAACTCATTTATTTTCTGATTGTATTGTATTGTGATTTCCATGAAAAAAACAAAGACGGGGGATGTAACATGTATTAATATCCATCATTCGAAAAGTCAACATGAAAATCAGGGTACTTCTTTTTCAACATTTCCGCGCTTAAGCTGTGATTGGCTTGACCAAACTCCTAAAACGAAACTGTTAACTCAAAACTGAGTACTATTCACTTGTGAGTATCCGTAAACAGTAATCTTTTTCCCAGCATTGTTTTTCTCTATTCTTCCGCCACCAATGCATTCCATTGGTACATCATTGCCGACCTCTTCTCGGAACTTTCGAACAACATTTGCGTGGTAGTCACAGCTAATGTATCCACGAAGATAAATCTTGTAATTGAGAATGTCCTCTTCTTCGTTGTCGTCGGTATGTGGCACCTAATTTCACAGTTTTCATTTTCATTTTCAAAGCTCCGCAAATAAATGAACCCACTTTGATCAAAACGTATTTGAACACACCATTATCATCGATATGAACCAGATCAACCTTATCCAAACTTTCCATATCTGAACAACTCTGGATCACATAGGTTAAACAGCGTCGTTTTATTGTATCAGCGTTGTGTGTAAAAAGCGTACGAGTATATATCGTAGGACAATATTCTAAACCTCTCAATTATCTGCTTCGTTTATTATAGTTTGTATGTCAAAAATTAACTAAAGTTTCATAATTTGCCAATTTCAGTGGTTGTAAATCCACGTTATGGGAGGGGTTTCATCAGAGGCTGTTCTACGTAGGCTGCAAGATGTAATTTTCCTTTGTTTTAATGTTATTTTTCTGTTTCTTAAGGTTCGAAATATATCTCAAGAATCCATTGAAACTATATCGCTATGGATAATGCATTACAAGGATAAATCATCTATCAATGCTATAGTGAATGGATGGTTGACTTGTTTCGAAAATGGTTTTTTCTATTAAATGTGTTAAACTGACTATTCGTTTAAGCATCTTGTGAGCAACAAAGAGTTGCCCTTTTCTATATCATGAATGATGTAGTTCAAAAAGCGAAGAGCAAGCACATAGATTACTTGATTCCTTCTTTCCAGCCAGCAGTACTTGCTGCTGTTCAAATTGGAAGGTATTCAACGAGTCATAAGTATGGAATACGTTTCTAGGCATTCAAAAACTGTAAAACAAACAATGGATCGTTGCATCGGCATTTTCGCTGAGAGACAAGTTTTTGCCAAAGAGAGTATAACTGCTATGAAAAATATATTAGGTATGCTCAGAATATCAATATCACTTCATGTTCATTTAAGCGAATGCTGAAGTTACTGACGGAGACGAAAGTGGCGTAGAGCTTGATGTCCAAGACTTGGTTAACAAATTGGCTATGTTTCAAAAAGTATGCTCAGACAGTCAAGTGTTCAAATGATCAATTCTTGTTCAGGGGCGAGATCTAGTTCATCATGCTTTAGAAATCATGAAAAGTGCAGACTTCAATTTTCAAGAAAGTAGGTGTAAAGCAAGAGGTATACATTCTGTTTTGTAACACACTTTCACAACAATGTAACATAAGATCGTCATGAAGTCACCATTTTGGAAACAGAAACGAAAGAAGCAACTCAACAACTTGTGGCTTTACGGCATTCCATGGAGATTCAAAAGAAAAAAATGCTACTCCTTGTCGAAATGTTGGAGATTGCTAAACGGCAGTTTTCCCACCAACTACGGGATGTTACAGTTGCAGAGGATGTTAGTGAATTTGTAAAGACGGTTTTCTACTTTTGACTTTAGGCTTATCAAAAATTTTATCAAGGTATACGTGTTGTTAAATCAGAATTAAAGGTAAGTATTTTTTCGTTTCATTCTTAAACGAAACCTCAGGAAATGGAAAAAACTGGAATCTATCCTGGGGCTACACCTCCCCGTGACGCTCCTTCACCCACTCCCAACGATGATATTTATGCCACTGGGGTTGAAAACGTTCTTCAAAGTACATTGCATTTTTTTCACTGAAAGTTGATTAGATTTTCGAGAACCTACCCGGGATAATCACGACATGACGGATATGGAAATAGGAGATGAGGATGAAGATATAAGTAACTCAGTTACATCTGTTGCTATTAATCCTATGATGAATGTATGATCTACTACACTAACTTGAACCCTTGTTTTTTTAGTTAATTCAGTATCCATATAATGTTGATTGGAAAGATTCTGCAAATCTGATGGGATGCCCCCCTCCGTCACATCTTCCTTACCCTACCAACTATAATGTTGGCGATATATGATAAACTCCTCATTTAATGTTATGTTATAGAGCAGTTTTAACGATACTTCTATAAGGAGCTCCACATATAGTGATGGGTGTAACCAAGGCTTTTCAAACTACAGAATTGGTTTTATTCCTTGTTTTCCTTAATGATGCCTAACTTTCACAGAAGGAAGAGATTGGAAAAGAAACGTTACTCCGGAGAGAGCGTGGTCGAGTAGAAGAAATGATCGGAATTGGAAAGGATCAAGAGGGAAACGGTTTTTGAGTTCTTCATTAAGTTCGAAATCAATGATTTTTAGGGATAGCAGGAATTACGGACGACAACATTCGAGAGATCGAAGATAATTGTGTAAAAATGTATAACTATTCAAATACATCGTTATTGATCTCTACTAATAAAAATTCTCCATTTCCTCTCAACCCTTCAATGTCTCCCATGTAGTTTACTTTCTTATATCTGGTTTTGCTATATCTTACCATACTGGAATATTGTTCAGGACAGGATGGGTGAAGTTCCAGTCTGTAAGCCAAATATTATACATTTATCAAAAGAAGGCGTTAGAGATTTGAAAGAAAAGAATTCTGAAGAGCTGGTAAGAGAAATAAAGAGATTGTGAGATATTCTTAAAGATTGAGAGAAACTCAAATTTCTGGAGAAAATTGCTGAAGGATAAACAAATTAAGAAAGTGGTGGCACCTATGGTGGATCAGAGGTTTTCAACAAGGGTGTAAGAGCCGATATATTTTTTCCAGTGAGCTAGCATTCCGAGTGATGATGAAAAAATATGGTGCTGATCTCACCTACACTCCTATGATTCATGCTCATCTTTTCGTAAATGATACAACTTACAGGAAGAATGCTCTAACCTTCAGTCCGGAAGATAGACCTGTTATTGTACAAGTCAGTAGATTTTTATTATTCAATGTCTCTTACGATGAGCTTGGTTCAGTTTTGTGCGAATGACCCGCAAACGTTTTTGAAAGCCTGTTCCCTTGTAGAAGATTTTTGTGATGGTGTAGATTTGAATCTAGGATGTCCTCAAATGGTAGCCAAAAGAGGTCATTACGGAGCATACCTACAGGTTTTAGTTTGTTCGACAAGAAGAATAATTTGTTACTCAGGAAGAGATTGATCTGGTTTGTGATATGGTTTCACTTGTTAGGGATTACTGTACGCTGCCCATCTCTTGCAAAGTTCGAATTTTACCTTGCCCGAAAAAAACTTTAGACTATGCTAACCGACTAGTTGAAGCAGGAGCTTCTATGTTAGATTTTGCAAAAAAAATACTAATAATTTTTCACTATCTAGGTTAGCAGTTCATGGACGAACGAGGGAGATGAAAGGCACTGTTAGTGGTATCGCAGATTGGAGTAGAATTCGTCAAATCGTGGAAGCCGTTAATGTTCCTGTCATAGCAAATGGAAATATTCAAGTTTTTTTAATATATATTGTGCTGAATTTTGTAAGCGTTTACAGATGCCTGGAGATGTGGATAGATGCTTGGAAGCCACTAAGGCTATAGCAGTAATGTCTGCAGAAGGAATTCTTTATAATCCTCTATTGTTCGCTGTAGGCTCTAAAGGTTGAATATTTCTGTCAAAATTTTTAATTTAGGAGACGCATGGGGAATCGTGGAAAATAGCACTGGAATACTTGGATTATGCAGAAAACTATGAAGCACAAATCAGTGCTATTAGAGCTCATATTTTCAGGATCTTACATCATAGGTTGCCAAACGTAATGATCATTAGGAAGTAGTAAAATTTTGTAGCTTGTTGGAGTTTGACGATCTGAGAACCTTAGTCTCTTGTCAGAATACCATTGCAAGTTTCCGTAAAGTCATTGAAGAAGTAAGAGACAGAGTAACAATGGCGTCTCAATCTGATGAAAAACAGCAAGATGTTAGAAATGCCTTGGATTACTTTGAAAAAATCAAGTATGAGTGAACAATTTATCTAAATGTGTGTTGTATAGGAACGGGGAAGCAGAAATGGATCCAATCTCGGTATGTAGGACTCCCCACTGGATTTCAAAGCCATACTTCCGATTTTCCGAGGTTTCTCTCTTAACATTAGACTGATTGTACTTCTTCAGGAACAAAAGAAGGAAATTGTGAGCAAAAAACCTGTGAAGCGAGACGAATTGAAAAGCAGGGCAGAGGACCTTGGAATATCAATCAAGTTGGATATTGTTTAATAAATTAATAATAGCGTATTATTTTTAAGACAAATGAAAAAAAGGGAACGTAGAAAGCTTCTAGGCCAGAAACTTCTTGAAACCCGAAAAGTTTATTTGTAAATTTGCTCCAAATGTACAATGAATTGTTTAGTTGAAGTATCCTCCGTGCGAAAACTGTGGACAGCCTGGTGGACAAGGCTGCAAGCTTAAAATGTGCAAAAAGTGTTGTAAATACAAATGTAAAACCAAACTACTGGATTGCCCAAGTGAGTAAAACTCGTTTTCTAACTTGTCAATTAAAATATTTAAGCACATAAATCGAAGTTTTCGAAACTGGAGTGATTCATGACTGAAAAATTGTTTGTTATTGTTTTCTTAATGAAAGGTTGGTTGTTAATGAGATTACTTTTGAACCTATAAGTTTGAAAGTATAGCATCAAAGTTATTTCTTTTGATTTTTCCTGATTCTGTTCTACTAGAATGGCTAGAACGAATGATCCAGAAAGCATGCTTATAAGAGATCAGGTTTTCTTTAAGAAAAAGAAGTAATTTTTTTTTTGTGATTGTTGTAACCTTGAATTAGAGATCGGATGAATTCCGGCCGTGTTGATGTTTGAAGAATAAGTTTCATATCATGTTTGAACTCTCTACTGTGTAGTACAGTTTCTACATTAATTTTTTTGGCGATCATGTCTTCAACTTCTTCTGGATTAATCTAAGAAGCAGAGAGAGCGAAGTGAAATTGAAAAACCTATCTTACTTGCCAGGCTCTGACTTTAATCATGTTCTTTTTTCTACCAATGATTCGAAGCTGATTATCACTACAGCATTCAACTAAATCTCCAGTGTGGAACCAATCCTTTTTATTGTACAGATTGCTAGAAGAATTCTATAGGGCCATTACAGAATTAGAACTTACGATTCATGTGTATAACGGCTCATCATGGTAGGGGATTTTATCAATAGCTCTTGATTAACAATCTGAACATGTATTGTTTCACGATTTAGCTAAGTTGACTTTGATCACTTTGGCTTGTATACCAGGAAATGCAATTCCTACTTTCGATGCATCATCATTCTCAGCAGGTGTCATGAACATTATCAACCCAACTTCTGTCATACCATAAACTAAAATTTCCCTGCGAAGAATTGTTTTTCCTCTTTTCTTACGTTGTATGAACATCATTGAGGGATATGCTCGTTTTAAACGGTAGATTTGGTTGGGATCAACTTTAGAAGCACCCACAAATACTTTTCTATAAGAATAATAAACTAGTTCAGATCGAAAGAACAAGGAGGTGTGCAAGCTTGAAGTAAAAGTGCCTTACTTCAGATGTGGTAAATTGGGTCTCATTTTCTCGAAAACTTGTAAAACTGGAGGAACAAGGTTGAGAGTGGTAATCTAAACTATAACATTCAAGCAATAGAAGCTTTGTTTCAACTTCGTTTTCAACAATGTTATTCAGGAATAGTTTTGGATCCCATTTATCGTTTATATAGACAGTGGCTCCAAAAAACAGCATCGAATAAGTTGTAAACAGTCCACCGACATGAAAATATGGCAGTACCCCATATACTTTCTGGAAAACAACATCGTGTACTTAAGTCGAGCATGCTCACATCATTTTGGTCAACGGTAGTGAAATTGAAAGAAGATGTTCCCGAAGAAGATCTGAACCTTTTGAGTTAACAATTGAAAAAAGTTGCGAATATTTAGAAAACTACCTTAGTTGGTTGAAAAGAGCAATCACACTGCCATGACTAATTTCTATACCTTTCGAGGCTCCTGTTGTGCCAGAAGAAAAGAAAATGAATGCCTTAAAAAATATTATATTTAGAATTAAATAACTTCAAACTGGATGGCTTCGATCAAACGTAGGTGGTATCGGTACTACCGTAGCACATCCCTGGATCTCATGGAGGGTAATTAACTTATCGGTCTTTTGAAGAAATTTATGAGCGTCAAATCTATCAGTAATTATACAATTAACCTCCAAGTCCTCTAAGCTATTGACAATTTCATCTGTAACTCAGTAATATTTCACAAATAGTCCAGAGAAGCATTCAAACATTTCTTTAACGAAGGGTTCAGCGGAACTACACAATACCCTAACTTTGTAATAGCCAAAGTGATAGATAGAAACTTTAACGAGTTTCCACATATAGTTACTACGAGTTTCTCTTTTCCTTTTTTAAGGTAACTGAACAGAAAACTCTCATAACCATTTGTCATTTCAATCAACTCGTTGAATGAAACTCCAACTGTATCTTCTGCATCAACCTTAAAAAAACTGTAATCGAGGCAAGAGGCATTCTGATCACTAGAGCTGTTTTGTTGAATTGGGAAGTTGCCTTGAAAAACACCTGTGGAAAAGATACTTCTGTTGAGAAATGCTCTTTGAAACTGTGCGAGCTGCTAATCATCTGAAAAAAAGAAAAAAATGAGAGGAGTTCGAGAAAATTTATTGATAATAGGATCAAGAGTAATTGTTCAAGTTCCAAAGAAGAATTTTCTGGAAAACTGATCTTGGAACTAGTCTGTAAATTCACTCGAAATGAGACAAACACAACTCACAACAAACCCTTTTATAGCGTAGAGAAAATAAGCTGTGTTTGGCAATATCAAAATTCTCATTTCCGTCAAAATGGCCCTAATTATATTGTCAACGACTAGTTTCGGGTCCAAGACATTGGGAGAGGTCAAACTAAATCATTCATTCAATATCAACAACGGAAAGGGACCATGTTCTTAAGAGAGAAAATAAAAATTTCACTCACGACGGTATTTCGCTCAGCATGTTTGTTGCAACAAAAGAAGGACAAACTGTTGTGAACTTGATATTCTTATATCCTTGATTATAAACTTCGTTTTCTAGAGCTTCTTGGAATCCAAAAGCTCCAAATTTCGAGGCCGAATAATCTACCAAATCTGATATGAATTGAATAGTATGACTATCGAAAAAATGTTAGAAATACCGAAGGCCCCTACTAAACCAGCTAGGGAGCAGACTGAAACAATGTGCCCGGAGTTCGTTGCAACCATTCCAGGCAAAAAAGCTTTTGCGAGCTGTATAAAATCATAATAAAAATGATCAATAGAAAGAGACCATACCCAGAAATGTGACACCATATTTATCTGAACAGTTTTCTCCATACTCTCGTCATCTTTAAGAAGGAAACTACCTCCTTTTCTCAAAATCCCAGCATTGTTTATTAAAATGTCGACTTAAAAAACCAAAAAAATGATTACTTAGATTTTTATACTTATCTTTTGAAATTTGTTTAGTACAATATCCGCTTCTCCATAAACATTGTGACGATCACTTATGTCTACGATCCCAGTATTCACCTTAAATAGGAGTTAATAATAAGTAACGGCGAGACCTACGTCTGCTCCTAAATTTTCGCAAGCAGTTTTAACAGTCAATAAAGAAGATTCGTCAACATCCCACAAGACTAGGCACGCCTTCAATTTCGCAAATTCAATGGCCATGAGTTTTCCGAGGCCATTCCCAGCTCCTGTTATCAACACAACCTGTCAAATAGAGGTATAGTATGTTTATCAGTTACCCACGCACCTGTCCTGTGATAATTTTCTGCTTAGCCTGAGCTGAGGGTATGAAATTACTGAAAAATGCAGCCACGCATTCTTTGAATGACGAAAGAACAGTAGCAAGAGACATAAATGCTTAAGACTAAAATAAGAAGAATGAGAGACGAAACGTAAGTTTTCAAATCTGACGATTTTGAAGGTCATCAACCAACATTAGATTGAACAGAAACGGAAAGTTTTATGAGAAGTAAAGTGATGAGAACAAAAACAATTAACAAGAAACACCTCAAAAAACAATCAACATCTTACTTATACATCATGTGACTTTGATGGCGCTCAGTACATATCCTCCAACAACATTTTGGGCCATCAAGGGGTGTGTACGATCAGGAAGAACTTGTTGTGTTCTATACATCTGACTACTCAAATGTACATTAACACAGTTTCTCTGCATCAGCCAGCTCTGGGCTTCCATCAAATTCTAATCCACACCCATTTTACAGGCAATCAAACTAATGAACATACCGGGAGATGTGGAGAGTAGACGGAAATACAGCCGCTAGATTTCAAACTTTTCATAGCTAAATCCAGAACAGATACGATATTAACCTAAACAAAGACTTAACTATAAAACTGCATTATAATCACCGATCGAGCTACTATGACTAAGCTATCTACTCCTGTTTCCATAAGAGTTCGTCCTCGTTGCTCTCTAGCGAGCCGATCCTCTTTAGAAGATTCCGACTTGATGGTTTCCTGAAGAAAAAGTCTTTGCTAGTAAAAACTGTAAAATAACCTTTTCGTCTAATAATCCTTCCTGGGTTTCGTCAGTTTCTCTTACAGTCTTCATCTCAGCACCATCGGTCGAAAGTGATGATATTCGGACAGGACAGAAAGTAGAAATTATCTGTGAGATCAACTAGTACTTAAGGAAATACTGAAAGCAAACGTTTTCTGGAAAGTTCATCGCGTGAACACAAGGAATCGATTGAGCAATTATCCCCCTATGAAGATGAACACAGGTTCCTTGTCCCCCTAATCGTTCCACTATCGCTGCTGAAACCAAGCCGAGAGCCTATAAGCAGTTTTCACAAAAATTCAAATCAGAATCAAACCTGCTCAAAAACTAAAACATTTGAACCATAGTGTACATTAGCCATCTGGATTAACAAACCTAACTGATCAACTCTAAGATTTCTCATTATCCATTAAAGAACCCTAAACTATACCTCAAATTTGATAAACGTTCACTATCCTTGTTATAGTATGATTGGCATAATAATCTTATTGTTGGTTTCAGGATTAAAACTCTAAAAAAAACATGAACTACAATTTAGTTCAACTAACCTATCCGAATGTTTTTTGGCTTTTCTTCTAATATATTTATTCTTAGAAAATTCTGTCCTACTTTCAAAGCCTTTGTTACCCTCTACTAGCTTCGCCACCTTAAAGGAAACTAAATCCGACTAGGAGAGATAAGTTTTTACCAATTTCTCAGTTGATATGCCTTGATTTTTCATGTTAAGAACGTCATCCTGTGATAGCTGTTGAGGTTCCTTAGAAAACTAATATCTTGAAGTTTATGAATGATAATAACAAACATTTCGGGCGACTGTTAATGTCGGTTCAGATTTGGAATCTTCGACAACTATTTCACAAGATTGGTCTGCAATTACTGTTTACATACCTGATAATTATATCTGATTACCTTTCTCCAATCTCAAAACTTCCTCTTGTGCCAAAGGTTTTGCTTGCTCCCCTACAACCTCAAACATTCCATAAGGTTTCCCGAACACACTTAAAGTTTTCAGTACAAACTAGATGAGAAAAGCAATTTAAACCTTTCCGCAGCAAATTTAAGTTTTTCAATCAAAACTTTTTGTTTACTGCTTAATTTCATTACTCTGATGTGCTCCCCACCAAGCTTTTGTAGAATAACATAATCAGTTTTACCCACGACGTTCGGCATTCTTCAAGAGAGCAGCTTCTAAACTAGTTTAACCATAACAAAAATAGCGATATTACCGAACAGATTTCAGTTTAGGAAAGCATAGGTTTCTGTATAGAAATTGAACCGCGATACGGCAGCACGTACTTATACGCAATAGAGTATCTTACTTTTTCAGCGAATCCTAACTGAATATATAGTTTTTGATATATGGAAGTGAATATTCCCAACTTGAAAAAATAATTGATATTTATTGCATTCAACCCATTATAATTCTCAACAAGTTAATTCGAGTACGACAAATCGTTTTCCGTTAATTTTCAACCCTGTGTACAGTTTGTTAGTATAAATAAATAATATCAATTACTATGCCAATTATATTAGTCAATTTTAACAGCTGAGTAGATCTTCTTTAAAAATATATAGGAAGCATAAAAACCTATAGTGCCAGTTAAGAACCAAAAAGTAATTGCCATAAGCGCACTGTAGCTGAAGTAAAGCACTGTCGGTACGAACCCCTCAATATCCAATTTTGTATAGTAGTAAAACACAGCGTACAGCATAACTGAAGAGATTGAGAATCCTTTTGTAAAATTGAACTTACCATATACAGCAGATCCTCCACTTACAATAAATGACTTCCACCACCACTTATAGTTCTGGAACGATAGAGGTTATTAAGATACTTCCGATGATCCAAAAACCTCAGCACACAGCATAAAGTATGTAGCAACTACAGATATTTGAGCTGTGCTGATCAGAAGAATGAAACAAACAATAAGAAGGAACCCGAACAAATAATAAAACTGATTCTCCCATATCGCCTGTAAATAAACAAACTCAATACAGTTCTGGAAGTATAAAATAAAATTATGAATACCGAGAAAATGAAAAATAGTTCAATGAACATTGCTCCAAAAGGTAATATTCCAGATAAAAATGTGCAGGGAATAGTTCTCAAGTACCAAGGTTGTTCAGGTACTTGCCTGGGAATTTGATTTGTTCTAACAGGGTTTACATAAGGCTTAAAAATCGAAGTTGCGAGGCCCTGTTGTCATATCACTTACGTGTTTTCTGTATCCAAAGTAGAAACCTAGAAAAATTAAAGGTAAATCTATTCCAAACCACATCAGAAGTAGAGCTATCATAGTCCCGAACGGAATCTTTGAGAAAAAAAAATATTAATTAGTATAATATACTCACCGCCCCGGAAGAACTTTTACTTATCAAGAAAAAATTAAGAAGAAATCCACTTCCCAAGATCAAAGAAGGAAACAATGTTCCAGTCTGCAAAAAAAGATATATACATACTCAATAGATGTAGATAACCTGGATTGCACAACGAATAGGATTTCTACCCTTCATGGTTTTATATAACCTTCCCGAATGATATCCGCTAATAAGTCCCATAAAACAAAATAGAAACACAGCAGCCGACATCAGTGAACCCCTACTGGAAGGAGATAACATTCCCAAAGCAGCAAATACTAAAAAAAAGTATTTAGTCCACTTTGCATCATGTCATAGTATTACGTAAAATAATTCCAACCATTCCTAGTAGTTGAATGCCTGTACCGACCATGTTAACAAGGATCATTTGATGAGGAGGAGGCCGGAAGACGTCACCATGAACAAGCTTCCACCCAGTCTCTTCCAGAACATCATCCTATATCAATTTGTTTAGAAGTATCGTAATGATATACGAACCTCTTCTTCATCTCGATTATAATGAGCAATATCTCTGCGAACTGTACGCAAAATAGAAACGCTCAAGAATCCAGTAAGCGATATAACAACAACAACAGAGTTTATAATACTGAACCAATGAATATCCACTGCTTTCACTGTAAGATAGACGTCCCATCGACTAGCCCAAGGAATCTTGAACAGAATAATATGTATGTTTCAAGAGGCAGTAACCTACGTCACTTTGTTCCCAGGTTACGCTATATCCAAATTCAACTTTAGTCTGTGCTCCCGTTAATTCCATAAAGCTTTTATCGTTCGGCACTGTTTCACAAAGCTAGAACAAATGGAAGTTAACAAAGACTATTATAAATATAAACAAACTTCAGAATTTTCATTGGACCACAGAAGTTTACTAACTGAACGAGGTCTTACTTCGAATCCAACAACTCGGTAAAGACCAGTCTCGTGCTCGTGGTATTTCATAACAAACTCGAGATAATTGTTAAGAAAAACCTGATGTGCTAGTCATTTTAACTTTCGAATAATGCAGCTTACTTTTCCGTTGTCATCTGTCCATCCTAATCTGTATCCCAAATCATAAAACGTCTCATGAGATCCAGGAACATCATATTTCGTTGCGACAGGCAAATTATCAATGAGCCTTTATGAACAATTATAGGATGACGTGAAGAAAGCTTACAAATGAACATGATAATTTTCTTTGATCCTTCTTATGAAGTTATTCACATCTTTTTCTGATAGCTCGACATATTGTTTGCCCGAACATGAGGAACTGCATAAAATATTTTCCTTCATACGGATCTAAAGTATGTTTTAGAGAGAAAGTTGTTCCACAAAATCTTATGATACATTAAAAGGGGTGTTCACAATTCGATCGCCTCTCATAACTTCTCCCAAGTTTTCCGATTTGAAACGAAGATTTCCATGAGGCTTACAGAATGGCAAAGAATAGTATTCGTACGGTACGACGTTTGTCGTACTAGTCAACTTAATAGCCTGCAAAAAAAGTTTTTTGAAAAGATTTTTCAGAATGATGACTTACCTTAACATCGATTGATGCATTTTGTGCGAACTCAACAGGTGCCACTCCAGGTACATAAAAAGAGTTTATGAAATATGGGTATATTGAAAGAAAGAGAACAAAAAACCATTTTTCGTTCATGTTAAACCACCTGAAAAATGCATTACCATGAGGAGTTAACAAAATATTGCGACAAAAAAGTAAGTGGTTCGTTATGTCTAAAATCGCAAAAATGACGTGGAAACAATTCGGAAGACTAAGATACGTATCATTCCGTCTATGCTAAGGCACGCAAGCAGTTGAGAAGTTAATGAACCCGATCGTTTTCCTATATTTTTATGAGTAGTATTTCAATAATGTAGCTCAACCCAGGATAGTTCTTCTACATATATAGATATATGTAAAACATTCACAATGACTGCAGGCTGTAAAAAACTACACTTGACTTTACCGTGAATGTTTTTTTCATATATATTGCGTCAAATGAAAACTCTGCGATTCCCGATGTTGAATATCTGAATACATGTTGCAAGCATCCCGATTCATGAATATGAATACAGAAAATAAGGAATACGTAATAAACAAGCTTTGAAGAAAACGGTATTTTTTCACGCAACTAGAAATCAGCCTCATGATACTTCAGGAAGATCGAGAGTGAACAAAAGAAGATTCGTGCAGAAACTATAATTTTAATCCTACTCTTCTGCATATAGTATGATTATATGATCGGTATGTATACGATATATGTATGACGTCAGATTGAAAATAACGTACGTGGTTTGAAGTCAATTTATCGGACTGAGTCCGATAAAAAGTTGTCCGACGTAGTCCATCCACTATTCTGGTGTATATTCTACAGAACTTATAGAGTTCGTTAATCACCAGTTCAGAAAAGTTTCATTGGAAGTTATTTTGAGTATGTGAGGTGTATCTGAACGGTTTATTGAAAAAAAAAGATGTTGTTTATAGCAAGGTATGCTTATATGACTCTCACATCAATATATTTCCAGTTTTACCCTACATCTCCGAATGGCATGGCCGTGACTGATAACAAGCTGGCTGATCCGTTGAAAGCTCGGTTTGTTTGCTAATGATGAGAATGCTATTGGATTGTTTAGGCTACTTTTAACGTTTGGTGGTCCTCTCGGTTTACATCGTCTTTATTTGAGTCAGATATCGGAAGCTTTCATATACTTGTCAACCTGTGGATTATTGTTTCTGGGTAATGAAGATATGGTTTTTTTTAATGAAAACGGTCTTTTGCTAGGAGTTCTTTATGATGTTTTTGTCGTTCATTCATTGGTGAATAAGTATAACGATAATCTACAGCGAGGTCATGAGGAATTCCAAAAGTTCAAGTAAGCTGTTATTGCAATTCACTGAGCATAATATTTCAGAAATGGCAGACTGCAGCCCACAGTTTCGAAACATGTTAAATGCTCAGTAGAGGCTTTCATCACGTCTACACTATACTCAATGTGGCTAGGTAGAAAAGTGCTGGACTTTTTTCTCAAATAGTTCTCTCAAATAGGATGGCTTTGTTGGCTAGCTGTGTCAATTGTACTAAGAACTCAAGCCGTGGATAACATTTTCATTCTATCCTCAGTTTCTATAGCAGTGAGCTCAGGTCGTTTTTCACATTTTTTTTGAAACTCCAAATGTTACAGGTATATATATTTGTGGAAACCGGGGAAACCAAACGCGGAATTTGCTGTATGTATGGATCTCAACGTTTTCGGCAGCATTTCTAGTCAGTGATCTTCTCAAACTTAATATTTTTTTTCGTAGAGTAAATTTCTTTATGGCTCCATTCTGAAGACGTTGTTCATATCTTCCTTGATAGGAACAATTGTTGGTAATCGAACTGCTAAAGTGCGCTTGCCTCAGGAAAAGTCGGTGAATGTCCGACATTTTATTGTAAGCCAAAAAAGTTGTGATATTATTCTATAACTTTACAGTTCTGGTCCTCTTTGTTTCTTCTACTTATTTGTATAATAACCACTTCCAGCACTCGTCATATCCTCGAACAAAAAGTTTTCAATTTGCAACATGAAAGTTTTTCAAGCTATCTTTTCAGGTCTCATCTTCTCGAGGTAGCTCTACAGTTGTGACCTCAGTGGGCTCTCTGGTGTACGATCGGTTTTTCGAGCATCATCGTGTGACAGACTTTTTTCGGACTATGCCTCGTATAGATTACAAAAGAGTGCCAGTTCAATCTATATCTGTGAGTTCATTGCAGATGATCACATAGAATAGAATATTTCAACAGGTTGATGATTGGTGGGGTCTTGACGTTTTCTCTCATACTCCCGCTTGGGCAGATTATGTAGCAGTTTTCATTGTAGACTTGCTGCGAGCAGAGACTCGCTTGTTGGAAACAAGATCCTTTGATGTTAGTTTTCTTAAATGATTAGTGTTATTTTTTCATGTTCAGGTCGAGCCACTTCGGTGGGCGTGTTGGAGAATGTTTCTATTAACAGTTTGTCAGTTTTCTTTACACTTACTTTTTCAATTTCAGCATTTCGATGTACCACCCGGCACATCGGATAACACTTTGGCGAAGCTGTGTATCATCAAGACAGGATCTCGTGAGAAGTCAGACGATGATGACTACTTGAATAAGTCAATTGATACCGCTTGTGACTTGATACAAATTTTTATAAACTCTTAAAGCAATAAACTCATTCAATTGTAGTGTACAGAGCAGTGTTTACACAAATACATTTATTTCCCATATAATAAACACACATCATTTGTAAATATTTCTAAAGCTTCATTGAAATGATTCTTCAGACTAGAGGGTAACTAGCCTTAGTTGCTACGCCACAGTGATTATTTCTATTTCTAGCTATCCTGATGTAGCCCTTCTCTCCCCAACCAGTTCCCCAACTGAAAATTAAAGAAACAATGTTTTTTTATAGGATATCACATACCTGTTCTTAACAAGCCAATAATCACCACCTTCTGGATCGGATCCATAACCAACAAGAAGAACACCATGGTCCAACTCTTCAGACGAGCATTCTTCGTCAAAATAAACTCCTTTTTTATAGAGTTGGAAACTTCGGTGTCCAGCATCGATTGCTATAGAAATAGGTCCTTGAGTTGCAAGTGCTACCTAAAACCCCGCTTTTCGATTCATTGCCAAATCCTGCACACCTTGAGAGCATCCTCATCGCCTTCTGGGAGATCTACGTATCCTTTATCATCAGCACCAACATCCTTTTTGTTAAAGTGGCATTTCATATCCTTTAGTCAGGAAAATAATTACAACATTAGGCGTAATATATACCTTTCCCTTATAAGGATAGCTGGATTCTGTATCAATTCCATGGTTGTCTTTAATGTATTCGAAAGCCAAATCCATTAATCCACCATTGCATCCATGATTTCCGTACTTTGTGGAACAATCAACAAGATTTTGTTCGGAGAGGGAGACCTTGATAAAGTTTCAAAGACTAATTACAAAATCCGTCGTTACCAGTTTTCCAGTCTTTCTAGCATGCTGTCCTTCCAAGGCGCCGGTAGCAGAGAACGCCCAGCACGAACCACACATTCCCTGATTTTTGATATCTGTCACTAGTTTTTCCTCTCTCCAGTCAACGCTCTCAGGAATCTAATCGACTTGATGTAAACAGAAGGTTACGCTCTTTGAAACTCACATCGACATTGAACGGACGTAGCCAAGTGGAGGAATTTCTGATAAGTCTATCTCCATACATTCTATGATTACGGAACCCGTTCAGTTTTCTGTACTCAGAAAAGGGCTTGAAAACAGTACTTTAATTCAATGTCTAAAAGTACGCTTACCAAATCGGCAAGTTCATTAAGGCCAAGTTGGAAAGACTTGGTGCCAAAACGCAGATTTTTGTTATGTTCTTCAATGTGAATTACGTTCTTCACGAAAGCTTCCATGTATTCATTCTCCTCATCTTCTTCGTACGACTTATCTACGAACATAGTAATACTATAACATAAAAAAAACAAAAAATAACCAAATTTGATCTTAAAATCGTCCCATTGATCGAAAGCATCATCAATCTGTTGCTTCAAAGTTTTCTTGCGTAAAAGTCTGTAATGACTACCACGATTTTCAGAATAACTGCAAGCGAAAAACTAATAAAGAAAGAAGAAAGATTATACCTTGGCTGAACGGCAGCACAAAGAGCTAAAAGAGCGAAAAATAACACGAGAGTTAGACCTCGCATCTTTCCGGAACACACTGCGATATTAGATCCTGTCTTATCAACGAAGAAGTCAAATGATGGAAAAGTAGGCGGGCAAAACTCACAGGGTCATTTGATCAGGGATCAAAGTGCAAGTCAGGGAATGATGAAAACAATAATACGCTTTTCACAGAAACTAACTTGAAAAGCTAAATGACGAAATTTCTATGAATCGTGAATTTATATAAGCTTACGGAATCATAATGTCACTGCTCTCAGTAGCTGGTTCACTGCCAGCTTTCAAGATTATGAATTTATAAAAACAGAGATTGATAAATGAAGTTTGATTCGACTCGTATGTACAAACTACGAACACATCGTAATGCAATCAACTATGACTGAGAGAGAGAGGATTATACTAGAATATAAATCAGTGAAAAAAATGCATCTCTCTAAGGGAAGTTCAAAGGTAATTAATTTCATCCATGTAGAGGTATGTCAAGTTTTATTTATTTACATTTTCTCCTCGAAAGACTGCAACTCTAATCTTGCTAATTTGTGAGTGGTTTACTTGGATACTTTACTTACATATATTGATGAATCGGGCAGAAAATTGGGTTAGTATCAGATTATTAACTTTATCAGACAGACATAGCTATTACATTCATTTTGCAGGCAAACGTAGATTTTAATTTATTAGTAGCTGGCCTCACTGCTTATGGAGTTGTGCTGCTTCTGTCCTCCATAGGATTTAAAAAAAAATGTCGGAACTTGTTCCAACTGCTAATATTTCTGCAGGTAGTATAAAGAATATATATTTTGTTTAAAAAAACTCTTCTAGTTTGTGCGTCTCTGGGGCTTCACTGGAATAGTTTTGAGTGAAGCTGCTGCCTTGCGGAACGATTTATACTATGGTAGTCAGAATAATTTTTCTCATCTTAATTTTTTTTTAGGTATTGCGTTCTACATGTACTATGCGTTTATTTTAATAGTATTCTATGGGGAAATGTATTTGTCCTTAAAATACTTCCGTTATTTAGGTTCGTTCGATGAGCAAATTTCACCAGCTGTTAAGATTGATGTTAGTCTGATCGAATTATTAGTGAACTTTATCTAATTTACAGCTTTTCACGCAGAATATGTTTCAATCACCAGTTCCTGGGAATGTTGAAGTAGAGAGAGCAAAGTACGATTCACCGATTTCTTTACATGGTCTTTTTGATTATCATGATGTTGTACTAGTTTGAGAACTATTAGTATTATTATATTGCTATTAAAAGTGTCAATCCACTATTTTTTATAGAATAGTCATGTCAGCTGATTAGCGGAGAAGGGTTATTGGTATTCTATCTGATAGCAGCTGCTTAGGCTTATCAATTGTGAAATGGACATCGACTTATCTCAGAGACGGTGATATCACGTGACCAGACAAACGTTTCTCGGACATAACAACCAATACGTTACACAAGAATGAATAACCAGAACGCATGAGCTTTAATTTTTCTTCCACTTTTTTTTAAAATTATCTTTCATTCTGGTAGAAGAGAGTCGTCAAAGTCTTCAAATGAGTCTTCTCTTTGCTTTTTCACTGAGCCTGTCTTAGGTCTAGAAGGTGCTGGGCCAAAAAGATCCTTGTAGGAAAAATCATTGGATTCTATGATGTGAACATTATACTAAACAAGACAAGCTCATTAACTAACTCATGTCTTTCTGATTGATACTAAAAGTCGTATCAGCTGACACTATCTCTTGCTGTGCACTTGCGTTCCTGTTTTGCAATGAGTTCGGGCGATATTCTTAAATTTTGGTTAAGATTAAGTAAAATTAATGAAGCGCAACCGTTTTGGGGTATAGGTAGACTTTGGGCTGAATTAGCGCTATGACGTTTTCCATGACTACTATCGGATTCACGTTGGATTCTAAGAGCATTGACGCGTTCAACCTAGATAAAACAAAATATATTCCTTTATTCATTTTCTACACCTTTTTGAGTTTTTCTCCGAAATCAGCAGCGTCTGGCATACCCAAATCCGTACAGAGACGTACCAGAAATTTTAGACCTATCAAAAAATGTTAGTGATTTGTGAATAGTCTTACATTCAATGTTTTCTGGAAACTTTCTGTTTATATTCTTGTATAAATCCAGAGCTTTCTGGTAGTTACCGGCCCGGCGCTGTGATGAGGCCATCATTAACTGCCATTTTATCTCATTGGGTCTGTTTTTCACGAGCTATCAATATTCAACCTAATGATTACTCACTGCATAATTGAGGCTTTCTCAAAATACAAAAGAGCTTTCTCCGAGAACTGCGTTTCTATGTAATATGCTCCAAGCCATTCAATTATTTTTATGTTTGACGGGAAGTAGCGATAACTCTGAAAAATGAAATAAACATTACACTGTAGAGAGCTATAATTAGTTACATCATAATTACATTGAAATGCTTGAGACTTGTCTCCTTCAGCATCATAGATTGAAGCCAGCTTAGATAGAATAGCAGGATCAGTTGGAGCCAAGCTGTTCGCTTGACTGTAAAGCTCTATGGCTTGGGCAGTATCTTCGAGAGACTCGTATCTGAAAAGAGAAAACAATTAGCAATGAATTACTATTGAAATTGCAAACATAGACGCAAGCTGACAGAAAACTTGAACGTTATTTAACAGGATATTATGAAGTTTATAGAAGCAATCCAGGGCTTGTTCTAGATTCCCCAGCTCATGGTGAATCAATCCCATGTTGTAGAGAGCCTTAACACATTCCCTTTCAACAAAATCTTAATATGTTCTACTTGGACGCAAGACGCTTCATTAGACAGTGCTTCTCTATAGTTATGCAGAGCCTTATTCGGATCACCGTGGAAATACGCGATATTGCCTCAAATACCAAGTTTCGATATAATTCAACAGATATCACCTGCATTAACTAAAGCGTTTGCACTATAGTGGTCAAGCTGTAATGCTTGTTCAGAGTATTCTTCGGCTTCTTTCAGTTTTTCATTACCTTTCTATAAAAAGTTGATATTTGTATATGGTTTGATAGAAAATTACTAAAAGATGTAGCATAGCCAGGTTGTTCGCTGCAGCGATAGCGATTTTTGAATCTTGCGAATGAAATGCTTTCAGTACCTAAATATAATTAAGAAAAAAACATTGGCGTGTATATTGTAAGCATACCTCAATAGCTCCTTCCAGATCACCTCTTTTCAATAAATCTCCCGCTTTTCCCATTTCCAATTCTGTCGCTAGCGGAGAGTGCACAGATTGTTTGATTGCTTCAACACACCAATCGTACCCAATAGCGAATCTGAAGCAAAAAATGGTTTGCTGCTCTTTCAGTTGCAGAAAACCAACTCATTTGCAATCGCTGGACTGATAATTTTAGCAGCAGTTAATATAGCCCTCTCAGCATAATGTCTTTTAGATCGCTCCCAGTGTCTCAGGCTATCGTTATTCAATACTTGATTTAAAAGTACATCTTCTTTCTCCTGGAAGTGGACCATAAATTATAAAAAAAAGGAAAACAAAAGAAAATACTTGACTCTTCAATTCATCATCACCAGATATTGGAATATCTAACATTCTCTGGAAAGCATCTTTCATCTTATCAGCATCATCAATACAGTATGCTGTCAAAACTATATGAAGGGTCAAACTAAGATCTCATCAGTTCACCTAAGTTCAAGCCAGTTGAAAAATCTGCACGTTCTTCTACACAATGCTCGAATGTTGATAGGGCATCATCGTATTTTCCAATACGAATAAAACAAACCCCAATATTGTTCAGTATTTTGATCCTATAATATACAAAGTTCGAAGATAAAGATGACATGTTGGAACTTAGTTTCTTTCTGTATACTAGGTATCTGATCTAAAGCCATACGGTAATACTTCAAAGCTTTGTTGTACTCCTTCTTTTTGAAATGAATATTGGCAATATTGACCTCAATCAATCTCTCTAAAGCCGAGATGAATAAAACAACTCACTTTTAGCCGCCCAGAATTCGGAAACATCTTGTTCTTAACAATTAATTGGTAAGTGTTCAAAGCCTCGTTAGCCATGTCGTTATTCAAGTACTTTTTCTTGATGAAAAACACACAGAAATAACACATTACCTGCTGAGCCAAATTGAATAAGACAACGAAAGTTAAATCCAAATTCATTGTTTCAACCATTTTTTGTTGTTCTCGAAATTTCACAACAGCTCTTTCCTTTCTACCAGCTTCTTTCGCTTTCTCTAATGCCTAGAACACTTTGAATATGAGACGAGAACTAATACTTACTGGCTTAAACATTTTTTTGTCTGCAAGTAAAACACTCTCTTTCAAAACATCTATGACTTTCAGCTCCATCTCGACATACTTATCCTCTGAACTACAATAAGAGTTTTTTCTAAGAAAATGTTACAAAAAAATAGCGTACTTCTCTGGAGTCTTAACCTCTGATGAAGTAGCAAGTTCATTAGCCTGTACTTAAATAGAAAGCAGATAAAATAAAGAAAATTATCCTAACTTTTGTTGGCAAAAGAAGTGTATCCAGCAGCTCTAACGGCTGTCATTGGTCGTGCCGGTTCGTTTTTTATAACAGACGCCGTCCTCAAAAATGATACGATTCACTGTATCTAATAAATTCTCACCCGATACGGCCATAACTGCTTCTCCCGGCCGAGGACGATGGCAGGGTCATAGATACAGGCGCCACACCAGTTGTGCTAATCTAATCTGATGTTTAATTTTCATATAGATCTCAACAATTACCGGTCGTCTCCCATGACTTGATCGAGCTACAGCTTGTTGGAATGAATGACTTTGGAAACCATTCTATAATTGCAAAACTCAATTTTTGGGAATAAACTCAAAAAACCATAGAACCAAAGTCATCCACCTCGTCGAAACCAGCATAAGGATCGTCCATAGTATCAAAGTAATGAAGTGTACAAAATCATGAAATACTACCAGAGCTAAATTTTCGTTGCCCAGACAACGCGTAATATTTCACCTAGGGAACTATAGGACCACGCCCCATGCGACATATACTTCAAAACATCCGAGAAAATCAATGAAGCCAGTAATTAATAAAACCTTAGTTTTGCTGAAATGAAATAAGGCGCTTTAGACATATCGCCCAGAGAATATTAGGACAAGTGTGTTTGTGTCTCGAATACTATAATAATTTATTCTTCATAATACTCATTATAGTTTTCTTGGTTCGTGGTGGTTTGAGCGATTAACACCAATTGTTACTCATTTGCATAAAATTCACGTGGAATGTGTACATGTGAAATGATTTTTGAAATCGGGCGCCTTTTCGGCTAACTCAAATTTGAATCCTAAACGGAAGCGAAAGCTATTCCCTTGGCCTTCATTTGCATCGCTCTAGATACTTATTCATGGGTTCAATAGATCCGGATGCCAGGTCACGAAGAATCAATATGGCATACCCGGTAATAGGAAAAGCTGAAAAACGTTAATTGTTTTGTTTTGTTTCTAGAAAGGGACGTTTTTGATCCGTTTATCCGATACTAGCACGACTGAAGGCAACAATGCTATCTGGATGGTGGATAACTACCAACTCTTACAAAAGTGTGTAATTGACCGCACGGATGCTAACGGAACTCGCTTTTACGCAAAGACGGAGAGGGTAATAGATATCTGTAATCGATCTTCAACGAAAAAATTTCCAGTACAGTGGCTGGTTGGCAGATGAACCATGGTTGTATTTCCCTTTGACAAGTATAGAAATAATGAAGGATCCCACAAATCCCCAAAACGTAATTTTTTTCCTCCTGTTCGTACAAAAGAATTATTGAATAATTCAGCCTTTGATTGCCCTCATTTCATCACCAACTCCCGGAGAAATGGAGAACCACCGAAACAGTTGTTTGAACATCAAACCCCTTATTTAGAGATTACAAGCGCTGTCACAAACAGGATACATAGACTTTTCATTGTTAATGTAGAGTACTGAGTTTGAAATGTAGCTCCATTTCACTAGGAGTGAATCGAATAAAAAATTCTCTCAAATATGTTTGCAATTCTGACAGAGCCACTGATATGCTTCATGTTTCTCTCTTTTGCGAAGATAATCACCAACATGAGCTAAGACTTCGTCGTGATAGTCGTTGAGCCATTGTACCTGAAAGCATTGATGATAAATAGATCAAACCAGAAAGATACTTCTTCCGACGACAGCATTTGCTTGTCTACGATTGATGTTTGAATCGGTACAAGAGTCAAGCTTTTGAATGCCAAAAAATTTGAAGCTTCAGATGGTACCTGAGCTTTAATGATCTATAGCAAAAAGTATTTGATTTAAAAAAAACAATAATCTACTTCGTAACAGTTTTCTATGCGTATACCATAGCTACCAGGAAGGTAGTATCCTGGCTCTATGGTGAGAACTTGCCCCGATTTGAGTTGACCTCCTGGCAGTACTACTCGGTGGCCGATTCCAACTATACAGAAACTGATCAAAAACATTCTTTAAGTTAACCTACTAGGTCCCTCGTGTACATTCAGAAAGTGACCCACACCATGTCCCGTTCCATGACCAAAATCGAGACCTGACTGCCAAAGAGAATGTCGGGTGAAAGAGTCCAATCTACTTCCTAAATGATAACCAAAAACTCAACAAATACAGGGTGAATGAAACCTATTATTCCTTCAGGGAATTTAGTTTTAGCAAGAGTTATGTGTCCCTTGAGAACAAGTGTATTGTGAAACACAAAGTTTTTCTCAAATTTTGTAGTTTCACCAATCATTACTGTTCTAGTTACATCCGTAGTGCCATCGCTAAAGTAATTCACACTTCAAGTTACTTCCAGTATAAACCTACACATAATGCGCTCCAGAATCGCAAAGATAGACTTGATTTGCAATAATTTTTTTATTACCCTCTTCACCATTGGTGTGATAATGTGGAAGAGCCGCATGCTCTCCAGAGGCAGAAATTGTAGGAAAACTGTTCACTTTATAAGTACAAAAAGTTTAAACAAAGATACCTCAAATCAACAAAGCGATCTTGCTGCGACCTCAGACCATCAATCTTAATATTTTCTATAAAAACTGAAACCAGTAGATGCTCACCTTTGCAGCAACTTCAACTTCAGAGTATTCATTTCCTGCTAGAACCTCCTTTTCCAACCAAGCAAAGAACTCTACCAAAGTAGCACTATCTCGAATCTTGGAGACCATCTGGGTAAACATATTGCTAACTTACATGGCTTTGACGCATTCCTTCCATCTCTACATTGTTCTTAACTGCTTTCAACACTTGAACAGGAGAAACATCATTCAAAATATTATTTGAAAAAATGGCTCCGATAGCATACGAAGATGAAGCAGGTATCAACACCTTGAAAATTGATTATAACCATGTTTCTTTCCGTAGTCACTCTATGTAATGGATTTTCCGTCATTAGTTTTTCGTTCCACTCTTTCAGGAAAGGTAGAACTTCATCATAGCTCATCAACTCTACACCTTGCAAATGACGCTTAATCTGATAAAACAAAGGACTCAAAAATAGATGTTCATAAATATGCTACCTGATTGGTGACTTTTTCGAGATCAATAAACAAATATACAGCATCTAGCGATACGAGCAGATACGAGAACACAAGGGGATTGTATGGTATGTCAAACCCACGGATGTTCAATGTCCCTAAAAAATTTACTAAATTCTAAAAAAGATCATTCAATTACACATGACATCATCAAGAGAACACAAAACTATTGATGTACATTTCACATCAAGTAAGTGGCTCCTGATATCAGCCAATTTCTCATCAATGCTTCTCCCTGTGACTTCTACAGGCAAGGTAAGAATCTAGAACATTCCTGAATTACAAACAAGCATCACAATGATAAATCACTTCTTTCTGCGGTCTTTCAGGTCTACATTCCCAAAAGCCATCTACTAAGTTAGGCTGCACAGCTAATGCTCGAATATTCAAGGCTCCAAGACATTTGATCATTTTTTCTGCTTCAACTAAACAAAATTACACTTGAAGAATTGATCAGGGAGACCTGCTTACAATATGTTGAAAGATGAGGATCAAAACATACAACACTATTGGATGATAAGTTTTTCATCAGCCATTCCGTAGGAGTTAGAGAATCAGGAAGCCCAGATTTCATTAAGGTCCATCCTTCCGCTAATTCTTTTTCAGCCTATATTTTTTTGCCGCGTTAACTCAACATCACTCCGCTAACTTGTTCGAAATAACGACCATCTGTGAAAAGTAGAGCCTCTTTCAAAGTAACAATCACAAAAGCATTGCTACCAGAAAACCCAGATAGAAACTTAACCCGGAAATCGTATTCAGATAAGTACTCACTCTAAACCTTAATTCTTCTAATTAACAAAAAAGGTAGAAAACTTGATGATCATCTGTGCTCGGCAAAATGAAAGCGTCAAAACTTTTCCCATTCGAAAAAGAAGTGAATGTTGGAGAACTAAACTGCTCGCGAAGAGCATTGAGGAGAAAACGACGATTCATACCTGATTGTAAAAAAATTATACGAATGTTTTTCATTAATTACTAGAAAATCTTGTGAGAGAGCGATGAAGTATATAAAAATAAAATTGATTATGGTCATGCTTTTTCAGGGTTTTTTGATGCCATATAATCAGAAATAAGAAACTTTCAACCTTATCAGTGACTAACCCAGATCAAATAAGCTGAAAGTTGGAAAAGGTCAATGTCCATATATTATCGAACTGCCAAACTCATGCATCGAATTATAGACCTATCAATAAAACAATGACTGGTGAAAAATAATTACCAATCGAAGGCTAATTCGAAACTCAAGTCAATCCGTTATTTACTTGGCTTTCGATAACTAAAAAATGGATAGCCCCAGAAAAAGAGCAAATAGTTTTAACTTCTGAGTAAAGCACTTTTAATAATGCGCTCAAATACGAAAATACTGTAGGTTACTATTTCAATTCTACGCAGTTTTGGCTGATTGTAAAATCTTGATATAAAAAAATAAACATGTCCAAGAGAAGGTTTAACCCTGGATCAGAAGAGGATAGAATTCCTATTGTTGAGAAACTATACAGGTGAACAATTTATATTAGCTATTTGTTTGTTTTGTTTCTAATAATTGTTTTATTCTAGGGAAAACCAGCCTAGTTTTTATGGTGAAGGAGGTTTTTTTGACGACGACGATGAGGATCAAGAGAGAAGAGATCAAATCATAGAATCTCGCCAAAAACGTCAGTTTGGCATGAAGTTATTGTAATCTGTATACTATCATAAGGTCATGACGCCGCTCATGCTTCATCCGAAGTCCCGGATAATTGCTCACTTTGTCAGAAAGCGTTGTTAGACTCCTGGCTTTGGGAACGTTACAATCATCCTGTATGCGACACCTGCAGGTTGTTGCGTTTTTTAAAAACAAAATGTTTCCTTTATTTAGAGATGACAAAGGTGCACACCAACTGATTCCTAGAACTGAAGTCAAGAAAGAATTTCTCTTAAAAGATTGTGATTTGGATCAGAGAAAGCCTATCCTCCGCTTCTACTCGAAGAAAAATCCTCATAACCCAAGATATGGCGATATGAAATTATATTTAAGATTACAAGTAGAGCTAATTCATTAGTTTCTCAGTATGAATACTGTGTCTAAGGTTATTGAGCGAATGCTGGACGTGTTTGGATCATGGGAAAACTTCGAGAAGGAGAAGGAATTGAGAGAACAAGTGAAAGAGACAAAAGCCGAGAAAAACTTTGAGAAAAAAGTCAAAGAGATGAGGCAGCAGGTTTTCCAGTAGAAAATACCTTGTTTTATGTTTTAGTTCAGATACGAGGAATTAGCGGTGCGAAGGTTAAATTTATCGAAAGTCATGAGCACACGTATGGTCCTGAGTCGTACAATGAAGAAGATGATATCTATTCCAAGGAATGTGTTGATTGTGGTTTCATATTAACATTTGAGAAAATGTGATATTCTCTCAGTCTATTAACAAGTCTCTAATTTGTCTGTAATTTTAATTATTCGATCTGTCGTCGCTGACCGTTGCTATGTAACCATGGTAACCGCAGCTATATTCGGTTTTCTTCTCTAACGTGCTTGATTATTTCCTTTTTATTTCTGCTTTCTTTACAGTCATAATCAATGTTGAATAAAATTTTTAAGTAAGAGCCAATTTGTACGTCAAAGTAATAATTCCGGAAAATTCGTAAAGATGGAACCAAAACCTGGTAATGGGTTTCGCTCTATTGTATTTATCTTAACTGTTTTTAGATGTATCGCTTAGGGCATTACCTCCTCTCGTTATTACAGGAGAGGGTTTGTTTCCATAGTTTCAATATATTTATGCTCACTTCATTACAGCAGGGACAAGCAACCGGAGAAGAGGTTCTCTTGTTGAAACCATTTTGGAAGAGTTCAGAATTGTAGGTTTTTTAAATATATGGATATGATATCTGTCGGAGGAGGATATCATTGTTACATTAAACTAGTTTGCTCTGTTTTTATACTCATATTTTAGGGATCAATCCAAGGAAATGAAAAAACGAGCAAGAAAAAACTGTCTCGGCAACCTTCTTCAGGCGAGAGGAAGGTTAGTACTAGGTGAACTATAAAATCTTATATAAATACTTTTAGGTATCGGATTCTAAGCAAACGGAAGTCAAGTCAGATAGGAAACATGCAAGAAGAGATTCTATAAAGGAGCATCTTTTGAAGTTCAGGATGAAGGTTGGTTTTCTAGTTTTCTAGTTGTGATAAAGTGTTTAGGCTGGAAAAGTTTTGGAAGAAGTGCATGAACGTTTAGTCGACGATCATTCAGGCACGCCGATATCACCATTGACGGTTTCTGAGTTACTATAATTGCTAGGAATATTAAGACTTGTTTAAGCCAACTCACAGTTCAACCGCAGGGCTCGAGTTTCAAGAGGATGACACATCAGCAAATGAAGAACGTGTTTTGAGGTATTCGAAGCACAATTGAAGCATGACATGAAATAATTTTATCTAGCCCAACATTCTCACAGTCTTCCAAAAAAACTGTGAGTTCCGATGAACTAAAAGCATCGTTGCGGTCTAAAATTAGGAAACAGGTGACTAAACTCAAATATATCTCGGAGCATGTATTGCTTGGAGGCCGAAAAAGTAGTAGAGCGGAAAAGAGGATCTGTACAGTTGACAAGAAGGTTAAAGAGACGGTTAACAACTCATATGGAAGATATGCTATCGGAACACGACATCGAGAACGTAGACTCTCAAATCGAAAATAGTATTAAGGTAGATGGCTCGGAGAGATGAATACAGATTGTTTGGTTTTTGTTCTTATAGCTTGGTTCACGCTTCGATAATACTGAAAGCTCGTCTATTTTCCCTTCTTATAGTGCACAGTACTCGTTCTGCACGGCTGTTTTTCCTAAAGTGAGTTCATTCATTCATTTTTTTTGGAAATAACTTCATGTGAGCACAGCCTGCCAAAAAAACGGAGATTTCTTCCATTACTTATTACTCGAAACCCCAACCACAATCAGAAGACGATTCATCTATCATTCACGATAGCCGAATTATTTCTATGCTGGAAGCTGAACAACAAGGGTCAGTTATATCTTCAGCTTGAAAACCTTCTGATTTTCTTCAGTGGTCAAAAGCATATTCCTTCTACGTTACTTCCTCATGACACACTAGGCGTTGGAGCTGGAAAAATGAAAAATTTTCGAGTTAGTGACCGTTGTTTTTTCTTGACAGGGTTCAATTCAGTGGGCTATGAAAGACATTGAGGATTTAATTTACGTATCAGCGGAGAATAGTCATACTTTTAAACCTGCCGGTAATGTCACGTACTCAGAAGTGGAAATTCAGTTAGATTACTTAATAGCAAACACATCGGAGGACGAAACGGATGAAGTTAGTTTCAAGCGAATTATGCGAGTGATTATGCTTTCAGGACAAATTGGCCAGCCATCTTCGACACGTTTATAGTCATTTTGTTTTCTCCATACAAAAAATGACAACTTTGTTCGAAACATTTCAAAAGGTTACAGACATCAACAGGTTTTCAAAAAGTGCTTAGCTTAGTCCTTTTGAGGATTGATTCCAGATTGGCTAGAACGCCAAGTCAGTCTCACAGCAAAATGGCAGAAAGTTTTAAGGAATCTTATAATAATTACGAAGAACAGTTGATGCAATCGCTGAATGCAGTAAACAATGCTTGGGGAGCTCTGAAGCAAAAACGCGACAAACAGGGCTTCTCATTGACGAATTTTACAGTTGTATACGATGAGAATGAAGAGGATGATGAACAGACGTCAGTTTTCCATCTTAAACAAAAGATTTATAACAATTTCATAGAAAGCTGTCCCTGATACCTCGCTTGTTACGAAATCATGCAGTTACTCCCACAGGAAAGCTTCCCAAAGAAATCAGAAAACGAATTGAAACAAGAAGGAAGAGAAAGTTTTTTGTAAGGGAAATTTTCTTCTCATTTTGTTTTTTTGTTTCTGTTATCAGATTACACTACTCTTCAATGACAAAACTGTTGGTAAAACAAAAAGTTTCAAATTCGACGAAAGTTTATGTTGCAAAATTGGACAAGTGTTTCCCTTGGAAGTTTGTTCAAAATCAGCACAGTTTTCTAATTATCGTTTAAGGTGTTCTCCGAATGCAGTACTCTTAAAGGAGTTTTATATGAAGAGGGTATTTTAAAAAGCAGTCAACTGGGCACTGTATGTTGTTTCTATGTTGTATTTATTGAAGTGACATTTTAGATTGAATTCAAAACCCCTGCCAAATATACTGGTAAGATGCGATATGTTTCGACAATTCAATCTGCTGCCAATGAGTAAAACTAATCTTTTTAATTATCAAATCTTTTTTTCAACAGAAGAGACAATACTCCGTTTTCCGGGTCCCTGATTTACTATATATCCCATGGTGATTGTGAAATATCTGCTGTTCGAGCATCAGAGCGAGTTCAAGAAGTAAGTATTACAATTCAGATAAGTTAATCATTAATGTTAGAGCATGAAAGTCAATCAGAACACGGGGTTCCAATTAATTCCTCACTTATGCCGCCTGGTAACAGATGAAGATTTTGAATCAAATGTTCGTTGGGAGGTATTAGAACGCCGTTTTCGAATGAAACTCTCATTGAAGTCATCAGATTTGAGCAGGTATGCATGAATTATTAGGAAGTTTTGGGATCATATAGCAAACCCTCTTCAAGGATAGGACTAGATTCATCTGAAATTGATGCAAACATGCTGTACAGCGAAGACAGAAAACCGGGTAGCGGTTATAGAACAGGCATCGACGGTCATCGTATGGCAGCGAACAATCACTCTGTTGCAATGCGGTATGTATGCTGAGCATTTATCTATGTTTTAATTTTGAAGACGTCGAATTCTGGAAAGCGTATTCGAGACATCAGATAGTGTCCAATATGAGCAAATTGTACGTGAAGAACCTGTCGGCACTAGTTTTTCGTTGGGAAGTTTGTTTGGTCCGCCGGATTTGAGTAGAAAGTTGAAGCCCATGCGTAAAGAATACGCTCGTCAACAAGTAACAGAGATTGTTGAAACAAACTTTGGCTTTAAAATTTGCAGACCATTAATGTTAATATGTGCCATTTAATAATCAATATCCAATCGGCAATAAACCTACCTACAAGGAATAATGGGAGCCTACAATCATTTGTGGAATGTTCGTTTCAAGTATGATAGTCCGGCTCATTTTTTCTCATACTTTTACTATCAGAATAAAAAATTTATAACGAAACCAGCTCTCGGAAAGCATCCTAATTGGCAGCAAACTTTTCGTATAGCCGTAGACACTGCCAATATTGACTTACGATCTATTACTGACAGTATTGAAATCAAAATATACGATCAGGTATTGCGTTACCTAATCAATCATACCCATTCAAGAATTTAAAAGGTCGTAAGTAAACTAGACTATGATGACAGAGAGATCAATAGTATTCATGAGCAACTGCTCCGACAATTTGTTGGAAACATAGAGCTACCATTTTCATCTGTCTACTCTAGAGGAAAGGTAAGTAAACTGTGAAGAAGTAAACAAAAAAAAAATTTCGAAAGCTTTGTAAAATCAGTTCCTCTGAAACTTTAATCAAACTACTATTTCCAGATAGATGGAGGAATTCGAATTCAGTTTCCTTTAATTTTAACAGGATATTCGTAAGTGCTCACCATCGTTTGAATTTCCATTTTATCCCAGAGTACCAATGAGAGGGAGCTATATGAAATTAATTGTTGCTTTGGATCCGCCTATGATGCCACCAGCGATGTTTCCCAGTACTGGGCTTGACACTATAGAGCCGAGCAAGGTTTATTATTCAAAGCTCTTTTGCTATGAATGTCCTTTTAAGATAATCAATCAGTGTATTACATGGGAGAGAAGTTTGCGACTTCAGTTTGAAGATAGAAAGTACAATGCTACAGTTCTTGATGTTTATGGAAAACGCGTTCTTTCGTCTCGGTAACACAGGTTTTCATTTGCTAAACTTTTTTTCATAGATATTTGAGACCTATCAAGCCTCCTCCATGTGTTGAAAACATATTCCAAATATATAACACGAATCCAAGAAAATGTTTTGAATTGATCACTGAAGTTACAAGTTGTATTCCCTTCGTTTCTGATCCCATTCTTTTTCCTGGAGTCATAGATATGTGGATGTCGGCAGATCAAGTTTGTCCTTTTTAACTTGTACGGTTTTGAATGTCCCTCACAATACCTGTCTTTCAGTTTGTGAATGTCGGATGCGGAGATGAAGAAGAACATGCTGTTCTGCTGTGTTGCTGGCTACTTTATTTACAATACCCTAGTTATGTAGTTCTTGGCACGTCTATCTATTTAAGCTGTTTTTGATTATCCATTTCTAGGATCCGCTCTTCCGGAAGGCGATAGAGCCGCTTTTGTTCTCACTACCAATAACGAGACAATACTCTTACTCAATCCGACCGATGGTATTGATTCTCTCAAACAGAATTTAAATTCTTTAATTACAGGAAACGTCTACACAGTGGATGATGTTATGTGCCCTTTGAGCTCGATAGGAACAGTCATTTCATCTATGAACGTCTATGGAAACATTCAGCCGTTTTTACACTGTAGTCAAATGAGCTTTGATTTCACGGTTTTCAATTTATTATTAATATTTCAAAAGTTTTTCTCTTTGAGAAAGCTGTTCACTGGAAGCCTTTGTTTGATAAAGACAATCTACAACTAGAATCTATCCAGCCAGCGTCATTAGTATACACTGAAGTAAATTCAATCATATTTTGGTTTTTCAGAATATTTTTTAAGGTATCAGAAGATTCCATGATGGAGTTGAGAGCATCAATTGAACGGGAAATAAAAGTTAGTTTTGATGATGCTCGACAGTTCGCAATACCACAGTGGAACCTGATGACTTCCAGGTTATTTGAATGTTGTTGGGATTTTCTTATATTTTCTTTTTGAGAATACTGCGTGAAGTACTACAAGAGATTGATAATAGTTCGAATTCGATTGTTGACGAAAAGCTAATGAGACTCAGAGAATCATATAATATTGCAGTTACTGCCATTCGTATACCATACCAATCATTACAAGTAAGAATCCAACATCTTTTATTGACCACAATATATTTTTTACAGCACTGTATCCGCTCAGTTCTTTCTCTTGATCTTCATGTAAACACTGATACTTCTGCTCAATTCGCCTTAGCAGTTCATATAAACCCGTACTTCAACAACATTATTTCTTGTAACATAGCATTAGCAATGCTAACGCTAAAACGTTGATTGAATTCTACTTGATCTATTTGATAGGATTACTAATGCTTTGTTATTGAATATATGAACGAGCAGAGCTAATAAATCGCTTGAAACCAGCTAAATAATTTTTATTTTTGTAAAGGCTCATTTGACTTATCGCAAATCGTGTCAAACTGATCATGTTGGAAACTTTGAAGCTGAACAAATATATGAGGTAGATGAAAAAAGCTGACAAAAAGAAATGGTTTCAACGAGCTCATAAAAACATCAATCCTGAGTTTCCTTTTGAATAATATTTTAATGAATTTCGTTTTGAATATTTTCAAACTTATATCTTGACAGGGATCAATTCCAACAAACCCTGCCTCGAAATGTCTTCAACACCGGCCCACTTGCATAGTTCAAGATTCATAAGGATACTATCGATATTTTGTAAGAGACTACCATGAAAGCTATTACAGGAAGCATTTCACTTAACGTGATTCTTGAATATTCAAAATACTCCCTTCAGGCATCGGTTTAATGGCTGGTATATGGATATCGTCTCAACAATCGTATACATCATCCCCATCATCCAGTGAATATGATTTGGCGATAACTCGTTTGGTAATGCCGGAAAAAGATGAGAATTTGTCGTCTGAGAAAGGAAACGCAATATTGAGTTGGATAAAAAGTGTTCATTTAATTCATCCATTTATTCTAGAGGTGACATCCGACTACACTGATATGTCAATAGAAACAGACACAAATGAAGTAATAAGTGAAGAGTGCAATTGTGAAGGCGAAAATGTTTATCACAAACAAAAATTCAATTAATCCAAACTAATTACAGTTTTGTTTTCAAGCTTATGTTGATGGTAAAAGAACATCCAGGGGCAAGCCATTCAATTGCCAGTTATTAAAATATTTGAAACAGTATGGGCTGGACTCAAGTACGAAATTGGAAACTGTCAAATCGTTTTCGTTTGAAGAGGTTAGAAGATTTTAATGATTTAAATTTCAAATGTAATAAGGTTGTCATTGTGACATATGCATCTACTAACCATTTCGCTGAATCCCGTTTAGCAATTAAAAAAATTCGAAATATAATGAATAATACAATTGCTTATTACGATGTTGGGCTTCGACCACATGAGGTATTTCACTAGAATATACAAAAAACATAGTTTGTTTGAACACATCTCGGTTTAAGGTTAATGAGCTGAAGACAGTTTGTAATCTGGTCTATCACAAAGTCAACTTCTCTGATTTTCCTCCGCATACCCGTAATCTGCACAATTATGCCTTCAAGCCTATCATAGATGCAGTATGAGAATAATATTGGATGAAATGCCAAAAAAATTTCAGATCGCTTATAAATCTTATAAAGTTTACTGGTATGTCGACGCTAGTATTCGGTTTCGTCATTTATCAAATTTACTGGATTTTTATCAATTATTGCAATCATCAGCATTATATGATATAGACCAAGTGATGAATGCAATCCGCACAAGCCACAGCCAATACTTCGCTACACATAGAGGTTTACATATTGAGACATATTCCGGTTAAGTTTAGCTATGTAATTCTAAGGAATGCACTTGTATTTTCCGCAAAATGATGCTCTAGCTAGAAAAACATTGATGTATGCTGCTGGCATTCAGTTTGTGCGTCGTGGTTCTTATAGTAAAGAAGTGTTAAAATGGTGAGAACAGTGCTCATTCAAAAGTGAATTCTATTGTAGGTATCTTCTATGTGCTCTAGATCAGTATTGCATGGCTCCACGAGATGCCTCTCAAAGTTGCAGGAACCTAAAAAAAGATCCTTTCAACATGTATGGGCATTGTCACCGGTGAGTCCGAACTTACGTTCAACGATCATGAACATTTCAGGTTTGACCAAAGTGCTTTAGGAGCTATAAAAATGAGTATTTTCGCCAGAGAACGGCATAATAGAATTAATTATACAATATGGAACAAGTTTTTAACAGTAGAGCGTAGTACAAGATTGGCCAGTCATATTACAAATCTAGCTTGCCCGAATAAAGCTTAACTAGAAAATTCATAAGTTTTATCTTCGTAGCTCATGCAAAATGATTGAAATTGTCTAAACAATTATAATCATCAGTCATTTATTACAGTAACTCCTTGTTCTCTCCCTACGAATTGTAATGAACATTCCTTCTGTACACTTTGGGAAATCCAATAAAATCTGGCTTTAGGTATGCTTTCGAAGCTAGAAAATCGAGAATCTTTCAAGACTCGTCGAATGAGAGATGTGTTGTTATAGATAAATCAGAAGAAATGAAACGAAAATTTAAAGTTTATGCGGAAATAAAAAGATGCAAATCACAAAAAAGGTATTCTGAGCGTATCCTCTTCATTTCTCTTTATCAAGATTGTATAATTATAAGGGCAACTTCACCGATTTTCGATAGTTCACTAACTAAATCTCGTTGTAAGAGAAAAAATTAACGAAAGAAGTTCAAGCCGGATCGTTTCACTTAAAAACCGCTCAAGCAACGGGATTTTTTATTTCTAACTGGCAGCGGCAGCTATGAATGAAATGTTCGGAAAAGAAATCGGATCATTTATCAAATGAAATCTTGTCGAGAATTGAACAAATAAAGCCGCTTTCTCTCTTTCTTTCTTTCTCTCTCTCTCCTCGCTTTTTGCTTTGTTCCAGTCAAGCTCAAAAGAAGATTTATATACTGTTATAATATGTAAGCTGATAATACTGATAAAGCGTTTCGCATAATAGCTTCTTCTTTTTTTTGACATACGGTGTTGAAATCCGAAAAAAGCTGGAATCCAATCATCATTAGAATACGAAACCGAATCAATCGCGCAATCATATAATACATGAAAATAAGAATAAAAGAAAAAAAAGAAGAGAATGCGGATCCTCGTTAACCTAAGGAGAGCAGCCATTACATCGATTCGCTTTCACTTCGTTTACTTCCGATATCCTTATCAGCACAATATTGAATCAAGTTTATGAACAACAGAAGAAAAAAAGAAAAAAAATTATACAAAAGAGATGGATAGATGGATAGAAGCAGAAACAGGTAAGAAGGATATTAGAATATTCTGGTAATTAACTTGTGAAAGATCTTCTCACTTCATTACTTGATAATCCAGCTTTTTCAACAATGCTTTTTATGTATGAATATAAAATAGATTCTTTCGTTGTTTTCTTTTACCATCAAAGATTACCAACTTTTATCAATTTTTCTCACCCTTGTGAATAGTTTGATTATCTAAATGCTTCTGCTGACCTTTGACATTGAACTATTTTCTTTATGAAAAAGGTCATATCAGCAGTAGCTTTGCCTTTTCTTTCCGAGAAATTAAAAGCAAAAAAGTGAAATTTGTGTTGAAGTGATAATAATAAGGAGCTGTTTTTCTTTGTCTTTTAAACTTTTCTCCATGATCTCTCTCTTTCCATGATTTCTCTCTCTCTCTCTCTCTCTATCCGTAAGTATGCATTCTTTTTTTTTGCTTCCCCATAATTCATGCAATAAATTATCTAAATGATTTCACAAACATTTAAAATCGAGATCAACGGAGATTACTCTGAGATATTTTAATGAAAACGAAACAAAAAAGTAAGTGAGGGTGTTATCTAGACATTTAACTGGCGATGATATGGTAAGTGATCTAGAAAACTCTTTAGCTTACCGCTCGCATTCTAAAGAATTGTATATGACATAAGAACTATCTAAATGAAGTTATGAATTTACATGCTGTATTACTATTATTGAAGAGTAAGTTCATTAAAATTTTTAAGGTTTCTCATATTTTGGTTAGGTTTCTGTTTTTGATTTTCATACTTACACGGGGTCGTACCAGGTAAAGGAACGGTGCGATTGTCAGTAAGCGGCCATCCGATTATAGTGGCGCTGAGAATCATAACGTAAAATCATCGTCCTTGGCCTTCAGGAATAGCTCCCGAGGCAATCATGTAAATAGATTTTATTAAGACAAATGACATGAACAACTTTTACCGCAGTGACTGAGCTCTCTCTTTCTTTCTCTTTTCCTTTCTCTCCTTCTCTCTATCTTTCCATCTCTCTTCTCTCTCTCTTTCTCTATCTAAAATTTTTGACTAATTGGAAAGTTGATTAGAAGAAAGAAATAGATTACAATGGTATGGATAAATATAGGCTAAAAGGCTTATTTAACACCTAGGGCATAGTAATAACTAACTGTTCGATTGAATCTAACCGACTTCAAAAGAAGTTTCATTTGATCTATATCCTTATATCATTATAATCATGCCAACGGGGTTCAATAAATAAGATTTCATCAAGTAGATTCTTAGTTTTCAAAACAGTAGTAGATTTCTACACTTGCCTCAATAAAAACAGGTGATAAATTTAGAAATATTAGATTTTTTCAATTTGTTAAAGATCCCTCTGCTTGTTTTCGCTTTGCTCTACCTATCTTGAAAACTCTTCTCTCACAATGATGTCATTTGATTAGTCATCAGTATTTTGTATAAGGCAAGGAAATATCCCGAGGCATCATCCCCTCAAGTTCACATGATGTTGATCGAAAAAGATTTTTCCTTATACGGTTAGCCCTTGACCTACTAAAAATATTTTTGAAACTTTAAAACTAATCACGTATGTCCATGTGATTTATCTATCCAGGTAACTTCATCCATATAACACAAGATGTTCTTCGGCTGCCTGTGCTTTGTAGTTACAGGTGTTTACAGATTTTTAGTTTAGAACCTTCTTTGAGTTCATCTCATTTCTCTTCCTCATGTTTCTTTCTTTTTTCGTAAGTAGAAGATTAGCCTATGGGGAAAAGATCGAAACTACGGATAAATTTTTCATTTCTCCCCGGTAGTAGAGATATTGGGAGGGAGAGATGGAGAAAGATAGAGAGAAACAGATTTAGGGGTGGGCGAGGGAGGAGCAGGAATAGGTACGAGTGAGATAATGTGCGTCATGATCTTCCAAACACATCTAAATGTTATCAAACATCAAGCTATTTGAGAATTGAAATTCCTTTTTGAAGCATTGTTTATATCCAATTTCAACCTGTGCAGAAATGCCTTTCGATTATTCATCTCATGATCGCCGATCAGATGCTTTTATATTATAAGAAAAATAAAATGATGTCATTTATTAATTTGCCTTGACATCTGATTGTCTTTTTCTTGTGCCTAGTTGGAAAATCTTTCAGCGGTTTCGTTGTTCCAAATATAATCAACATTAGTTTTTGTAAAACAGGCAAAGATACCCCACACAAACCAAGCAACCTACTTAATATGGCTTGTCTCTGTTTACTGTCTACAAAAGCATACTGAAGTACGAGAGCACTTCATTCAACCTCGAAGATAGTTTTTTCTTTCTTTTCCGTTTTCTTGTCAAGAAAAAATCCTTATTCATATTCATTCATGAATGTAGATGTGTGAAAAAACAGTGAGAAGGAGACAAAGCGAGAGAGACAGAGGGAGAAAGATGAATAAGCTTCGAAGATACCGAAGTATTCAAGACAAAGCTGCTTGTTAAATACCTGTGACAATCCTGTCCAGAACTTCTATTATCTCTTCATCTCGATGTTGATCGCTCGTTCTTGTGATTGGGAAAAGAAAAGATCTCCATTTTAATACGAGCTTCACCTTGATCACACGAATAGTTATTTCGAGATCCGTTCAGCTGGGCACTTTTCTTTCTTTTTCTCTTGTTCACTTTTTGATATACGCTTTTTCGGGTGTCTGCGTAAAGGGAGATGAAGCTTGAATGAGATATGAGATCTTGACACTTTCTTTGGCTTAAAAATGCACCTTCTCTCCGATTCTCAATTAGAAGACGTTTCACAATGAACCTTGACGGTGGTCTTGATCGTTATTTCTCTCCATTGTCATTAACCATAAACGCTCGTCTTGATCTTTTCCTGTTCTTATTTATCTCTTTTCTTTTCCTCTGAACGCTATAGATGATCATCTTTGCTTGGCAACGAGAAAAGAACTTTAAGCCTAATCTGATCATTAGCATCATCTCTTGTTATATCATTTTCTTGTCAACAAAATGAAAAAGATTATGCTTTTCTCTCAAACTTCCTGAAAGAATCTAATGCAGAATTCTCCTCTTGTTTTTGGAGTCTGTTCTTTTATTCCTTGATGACTCAATTTCCAAATCAATCACATCATTGTGCTGGGTTAAGGAAATTATTCTGCTCTTCTCATATAATCTGACTCGAAAAACTTATTCACTATGAATTTCAAGTTAATTAGGTCATTCCATCACTTCAAACATTTATTTCATCGTTTTTCACACTTTCTCCGCTTGACCTTCAGGGTATCAGACGAATGGCTTCTCATTTTGTCATCGAGGTACTATCTAAGTACAATGACTCTGATTCCTTTTTCGATCTTTCATTGCCATACATGGCTGTGTAGAATGCCAAGTAGTGTTTGTCCGAAAACCCTAATATATCTAGATGATCAACGAAGAAAAAAAGAAGAAAATTTACAAATTTCGATTAAAATGTCGTATATTTTCTGATTTTTTATTAAGTTTCTACAGCATATTGGAATGTCATCAGTCACGCATAACATCACTTCAATGGTGAAATTGAATCGCTGAACCTTCGTGAATCATAATATAGCCAATTTGAAAAGATCTAAACTCTCATGAAATATTAATATAATCTATAATTTAATATTGTAATGAAAACTCATTCTTGATTCATTTCGTCATATCTCATAGAGAAATTAAACTTCTTTCTGCGTCTTTGGTCTCCATCATTCTGTGCCCCAAGTAAAACACTCTCTTGAATTCCATTCATCTTTTTTCTCCACCTTTTCAAAAAAATTAACTATATCTCGTTGAGAAAAAATATGTAACGATAATCATCGTTTTCATCCGTTCCTTCATAATTTCCAAATTCCTTGTTCTTTTTCGCGATTGGGCGTTGTGCATGGCACGGCTAGTGGGCGGGAATAAGGGGCGGAGTAGAAGCAAAGGGGCAAAACCAGACGATCTCGACACATTCGGTTCGCTCACACTTTAGCTATAATACCGTATGCTGACTAGCCATCAAATCGGCTTATATAATCCCGTTTAGAAAATGCATTTCGGACTGGCAGTCTTTTCTCTGGTGAATAGGGTATCTCGAATAACCTTATTCGAGTAACTTCTACCAGTCTTATAATTATTGTTATTATTATTATTACATATATTCGATACCATCATATTGATGCTATGATTCATATATATTCATATACTGCATTCGTATAAGTGATTAGCTATTATAAATATTGAGTTTATCTCCTTTCTGTTTTTCCATATCGAGCAAAGTCTTTCTTTGGATTTGCAACCAGAGTCTCTTTTACATTTCCGCTCGATTGCCGGGATATTATTCTTATCTGAATAAGGAAACAAACACCTACTCGCTAGATCTTTTCTTGATCTTTCTTAACAAAACATCAAAATCACTCATCAGTTTTGGCTATAAAATCTTCTCTACGCGTTGCATACTTTCATTATACTGAAACTTATTAACAGCTTCCAATGGTCGAATGATGATTACTCTTTTCCAACATCTCTTATCATAGTTCTTTATCGCTCATTCACTATTCCACTGTTTGCGGATATACCTTGACCTTATTCTTCGTTCACCTAAACAGGGAAACGAACAGATTATTTGACTGTATTATAGACACAAAAAGACACTCACTGCATCACTGTTATCTGATTACTAATCAGTCGCCAACAAGTTCAAATTACATCCGAAATCATCAAGCAGATTCAGACAACGGAAGGATTATATCTTCAAGACTAACTCGTCGAAGCCGTTAATCAGTCATTTTTGGATATAAACAAGCTATTTCAATAATATCAATATGCTCCCGGATAGTCCATGCCCTCGCGCTGCTCTAGCTCTTTCCGACCTACAACCACAAACTGGTGCCTCAACGTTTGCTGTTGGTACTGGCTCTGGGAACTGGTGAGTTTATCTCATTTTAATTTCATCTATACAGAGAACAAGCGAAAACTTAAAAAATGCAACACTATCTAAGTGAACAAACGTATGAGAATAGAAAAGATTCGTTAGTACAAAGTTTACCGGTGTCTTTAGAAGATATTAGCATAATGTTGGCGTGAAGATCCTGACTCACACGTGGCAATTGAATATCATATTTCGATTTTAGAAGGCGTGGTGGATGGTTGTGCTAAATAACTCTTCTCCTTATCATTATTGTCTCTCTCTCTCTCTCTCTCTCTCTTTATCTCTCAATTCTTCATTCTTATAGGTTATCAAATCTTCTTTCATTCTCTTTCTCCTATTTATCCTTTCCTCTGTTATCTCTCAAACTTTCTCTTTTATGAATTTGATATCAGGACTTTCAAAGTTTTCAAGTTTCACATAAAAAAATACTTCAAAGAAGCAGTTCTGAATGAAGCCTAAAAAGTTGAATTAAAAAATGAATTATAAGTTTTTCTTCCAGGTCTACTCATGGGGTAGGAGGAGTCGGAGGAGATGCTTCTTTCGACAATCATGGAAATGGCGGTTTATTCGGGGGAAACAGACAAAACGTGAGTTCAACATTTGAAGCTATTGTGAGATAGTGAGAAGTGAATGTTAGTTAGTGTGCCTGTAATAATGTTATGTTGAGCTGGTCATAAATATGATTCATGAAGCTGATTCAAACCATCTTCATCACATTGTCACTTTCTGCTGACCTCTTAGCCTAATTATCTCCCATTCGATCTATCAATGCTCTCTGAATTTTGAATACTATTCAATTAAAACTGAAAATTTTAATTTCTCTTCTAGGACCGCCCATTCGATTCCTTTTCAAACTCAGGATTCTTCGATAATAAAGGCTGTGGTTGCACGTCGTCAAGCTCTAGTGGCGGCGGATTATTCTCACGAAAATGAACTATTTGTAAGTTTTTAGAAATAAATTATATCATTCAAGACACTCAAAGATATATTACTTTTACCTCCTTCAGTTATCCAACTGTTCTCACATTATCTCTTCTCATCATATGTGTATCCCCTATTGTTCGTGGTGACGTAAAATTGCCTGAGTGCCATTCTTTACCGAAAGTATTATGCTGTACTGAACGTGTTTTAGGTAGAGAAATCTTATATTAGTCCACTAATTATGAGCTATTTGTTTCCAGAGAAATGTTTATCCGGATGCATCGATTATGTTATGGAGAAATGTCCACATAAACTTGATAAATATGAAACTATTGAAGATAAAGAGCAAAAAGATGACAAGAAATCTGAGCTTGTGAGCCTGTGTTCGTTTCTATCTTCTTCAACAAGCACTTTAGGTAAAACAGAAGTTCAATGTTCGTGGTACCTTGCCTCTGGCTGAATCTCCAGCTACTGAGAAATTTGTTGATCAGGAGATCCGCCGTGCACCATCAAGTTGGAGAATTTAAATATTATCTTAGTACTCAGAATTTGCAGGTGGCGATGCAAAAACACTGTCTCACGAGTTTCCAATAACTGAAATATCCGACTCAGATTTGACATCGGAATGTGGAACAGAACGCAGCCGTCCTCCCTACTCACCCTGTCTTTCACGAAAAACCGTAGATGACCTTTTCTTATCTTGCTGCCAGCAACATGTAAGATTCAATAGATCAAGTTATAAATCTAAATTGAATAATGATAGGTTCCTGCAAGCTGCCATTCATTGTGCACATACGAGCACCGTGAACATGTAGCCGCGGAAACTTTGATCGCTGCTGTTCAACAAGATGGATGTGACTTGAAGGTATGTTGAAAAAGAAGCCAAAAAAACAAAAAAAAACTCATTTCAGTATCTGTCAAATATTCTTTATTGTGCTAATCAGAATCGTGATAATCGGCCTTGTTGTGAATTCCTCGGCATGTCTAACTCAGATCTGGGCGTTGGAGATAGGTATATATTTTCAACTCGCATTATCTTCTCCACCTAGACAAAAAGTAATTTTTGTATTTCACCTTTTTCATTTTTTCAGGTGTTTGCGCATGTGTAACGTCGCCCCATCCGGTGATCGTATCAACTCAGTTGAGAAGAACGACCTCGTATGTCTATCGAACTGGAATGTCGTTATGTACTGTGCACGAAGTGGACTGCGTACCATCAATTAATTGACTTCAGATGTTTTTATGCAAACGTTTTCTTCAAGAATTGAAGTAATAGAACAATCTTTCTGCATACTTTTTCCTCTAACACGATTTTTTCTTTTTCAATTCAGTTCGATTACTATTTTCTCCAATCGTTTTCCATTTTCTCCATCCAAGTTTATCAGGAATATTTTTCCTATCACTTTTACTTTCTTTAAGCTGAAAATGATATGTTTAGATTTCTCTTATTCGAATGGAAATCTATCACATCAGTGCTTCTCCTACCCTGCTCGCACTTCTTCATAACGTAATAATCGATGTATCAAACCTATATTCACATGTAGCTTCAGGGTTCCGTCTCGTCATGAGGAAACATATCCTTATTGACTAGTCTCATATACTATAGTTCTGAGTACCTATCTTATTTCCGAACTATCTGAATTCATCACTGTTTTAACACGAGAATGTTATCAACCTCTCATTTCGACCAATCTGTGCTAAAAAAACGACGATTAAGAATTTACACTGAAAGGTTTATAATAGTCTCAAAAATATTTAACCTATTATCTAATAATCAAGTCTAAATAATGTTTCTTTTTATTTTTCATAATAACAAAGAACCGGGTAAATCTATAAATGCTCCATTTAGTCCTCAAATGAAAATGCTGGCAATTTCCCTAACTTCATTTCCCCAACCCCTTTCCCCACCCTGCTTTCGTCAACTTGCAATCTGTATGTTAATTAAATGTATTTTAATATTATATGATCGGTTGTTGTATTTAAATCTGGCAATCACAACAGCAGAACACAGAAATCATCCACTTACCCATTATATTCATATAATGTACATATACATTTCTGAGTCAATCGGTTGTTCAAAACTGCTTGTATTTGAGGAAATATAACATCTCAATTGTATGTATAGCTATTTAACTTCATCTATCCTCTGATCTGCTACCTGCAATATTCCTCTAGCCTTCCTTAAGCCAACCGATGTGCATAGTATATCATATATTCATTTTTTAATTAATCATCACATTTAAATAAATTATTATTTATAACGAACGGATACTTGATGCATTATCCCACTCACTATTCCAATGTCGCTCATTTATTAATTTGCATAACTTCAACAATCAACTACTTATATGTTAATCCATTCTCAGATTACTTTCAAATATGTGATAATGGTTACAACACTATTTACTTTTTCCACATTTTTGACACAGGTTCTCACAACTTGGAGTTCTCATCCAGAAACTTGCGAATACGTGCATTTACTTTTTGAGGTTCATCTTGCTGAACCCAATGAGATATTCCTTCTAACAAGTAGAGTTGAGCTGACCTACAGAACTAGAACCTCAGTGTGTGTTAATACTGCAAGTTTCCAAACACTTTACCTGCACACTTTTCTTCGCACTTTCTTTGGTTAGAAACGGATCTCCTGTTCCCCAAACGATAAGAACAGGTGGCTACAGATTAGACAATTTCTCTAGAGGATATGAAACTTGACGAAAAACCTGAATCAGTTCGGAAGTTCTGAATTTTGATGGCGCAGAAAACAATGCTCTGTAAAAGTTGATAGGGGGAGTCAGAGCACCTAAAATGAATTTACAACAATAAGGATTTTTCTAACAATTCCGAGACCTTCTTGACTGAATACGTATCTCCAAGCCTGGAGATCTTCTTCTGTGAAGTTCTGACGATTTTTCAAACCACCTTTCCGTCCTCTAAACATCGCATTGAGCATGCGGAAGTCTCGATTTGCAACGCTCCATTCAGGGATATAGGGAGATTGAAACATAAATATATACCTAAAATACGAACAATTAATAAAATTTCAATTATACTAACCAGCTTTTCAACAACTGTTTAAAACTTATTTCGTAGGCTTTTGGATGAGGAACATTACAAATTACAAGCTTTTCGATTACTTCAGGAAACATCATTGCAGTCTGGAGTTCTCGTTTTCTTGTCTCTTATTCGAGCAAATTAATTATTCTGGTTTTGCATTATCACACAACGGCTGTTCAGACATTGGAAGTATGGTATCTCTCATAGTGGGAACAAAACCACGAACAAATTATGAGAAGTTGGAGCAGTAAATGACTGTTAGAAATACCTGCCAAGCAACAATTGCTCCCCAATCGTGAGCCATAACGATTGCTCTTTGATATCCTTTGTGAAAAGTTATATGTGGAAGAGGAAAGCGAGAGCTAACCTAATTTTCTGATAACTAGCTGAATATCGTTGGCTAGAATGTCAAGACAGTAATTTTCCACGCCGATAGGCTTTTCAGATAAATTGTATCCTCTCATATCAATAGCAACGCATCTGAAAAATCACTCAGCACTCAGCTGCGAAGTTAGACAGCACCTATAATCTCTCTGAAATTCTTTGAGTTGGTATCTCCATGAGTACCAAAACTCAGGAAAACCATGGATCATAAGTAGAAGTGGCTTTTCATTCTGACCACTTTGGACGTAGTGGAGAGTTACACCCTCAAAAATGAAGCAATGAGCCAATAGAAAGTAGTATCATACCTCTAATTGAATGAAATGAGAACACCATCCTTCCAGACACTTTGGCTTAGGATAAGCTTTGGTAACTACGTTTCTATACAATAACCTATCTTTCAATAGGTGAACGGCAGTTAGAGAAGTCCAGAAAAATTGAAAGAAATATCGAACAACTGCTGTACACACAGCCTCCAGCCAGCCCATGTTTGCATGAATGAAAAAATTTCGATCATTTCTTATCACTCTACACTACAAATAAGTCAATCAATAAAATCGACGGGAAAAAATTGGATTATGTACAAAACGATTTATTGTCTCAAAAAATGTCAGACGTATCAGCAAAGCTTGTAAAATTAGGGTATTAATCGAAGTTAAGAGGTAAATAAAAGAATAATACAGAAGTAAAGACTTGTAAGCCAGAGTAAAGTACATTTTGTACAGAACCACTAATATAAATTAGATGCGATATTATGCAGATAATCGTTCAAGTTCTTTTTTCACTATGTTTCCAAGAACGCGAAAGTCTGGCTCCGTAATCTGCAAATATTTTCGAGACACGACTTCCTTGATGCTACAATAGTTGGGCGCAACTTCGCACAACATCTCCAGATGTAACTTTACATCACCTGAAAAGGTCAAATTGTTGAAGATAAAAATAGAGATAATTTACTGTTGCTGAGAGTTCGTCCTCCATTATAAACAAGTTTCTCTACTACCGTATTCAACTCTAGAGATCTACATTGCTTTTGGGTATACAAACTGCAAAGAACAATGTTAGACTCTTGAGGATTTATTTAAGTTCACCATAAAACCGATCGTAGAATGCTCTGTTCTAACCTCTGCAGTAAAGCTTTTTTTCTTTCAGCCTCAGGATCTCTCATAGATTCCGCTAGTTTTTTCGCAGCTTCTTTGGCTCTTATCTATAAAAAAAGTGATAATTCAACAGCTTGTTGAAACCGTACTCGTTCTAGTAAATTCATTGTTCCTTTCGGTTTAGCTGCTTGAACTTGAGCAAATTTTCTTGGAGATAATGGAATACTAGTTGAAGCGGAAACTAGCGACTTCACTGGACTTCTCAGCTCTTCTATAGCTTTCTAATAAACTCGGCAATTAAATTAAAATCAGCATTTCGAACATACATCAACAGCGCTGGGAATTTTAACTTCAACAGCGACAGAGTCCATAAAATCCCGCATGTGCCTTAAGTTCTCTTCTCTCTTTGGAGGCTCAGGTAATAGGACCTGATTACTCTATAGTATAGAGGTATTTAAATATTTAATCAAACTTGTTCTAGGTCTGTACATTCCGTATCAATTTTGAGTGCAAATTTCGGATGAAAACGCTTGACTGGAAACTTTGGTTCGGGTCCTTGAACAAACGCATATGAAGAGCAGTGAGAAGAAAATGAATAAGTACCTCCTATTTTGCACATGAAGGCTTTGTAACACTGTTTAACTTTTTCGGCAAGCAGATATCTCATGACATGCCCACGGCAGGCCATCCTCCATCCTTCCAAGCGAGGAGCAGTATCAAGTTCTGGAGCTCTACAACTGATGTTTTAAGGGTTAAAATTCGTAGTGGAGGCACCGTGGTAAAGGAGCTGTACACTTTTTTCTCGGACTTTTCAGGGGAGATAAACATTTTCCTGGGTTAACCAACGGCAGAGGAGTTTCGATACATTTCGTAGGGCTATCAGGTAGCATATACTCAATGAGATCTGAATTAGAGAAAGTTAGTATTAACAGCTGAATACACTCACCATCTTTCAAATTTGCAGACATGACATGTTCATATTTACCAGTAGTGACTCCTCCAAAAGCATGCCATTTCTCTTCTAATTTTACATTATAGGATTTGGGATAGACATGCAAAACTTGAGCTAAGTGCTTCAGAGTAAAATCACTGAATATTAATAATAATATAATTTTTTTTAATTGAAGCAAACCGTTTTGTATTTTTTTGGACATTCTTCTGGATTTCACTTACAACACAACGGCGTCCTTGACTAGAGTAAATCGACAAAATCTTGAAAAGAGCCATTGCGTATATAGAATTTTGGAACTAACTCTATCACAGCCTTGGAAAGATTCAAGAAGAGTTTGATACTTCGTTGGCAGTGGAACGGCACTGTTCTCCTTAACTTCAGGTAAAAGGCGAGAAGCTTTACCATAATCGAAAACTCTCCTATATTGTTGAAATCCGGACTATTAAAGAAGTAGGTAACTAACAGTTTTTCTTCAGCTTCTCGCTCTTCGTCGGAATCCACTTGCTTTGCTGGAGTTTTATATGTAGGTAGAACATAATCTGGTGCTGGAAGTCTTCCTTCCGGTGTTTTCGGCCTCTCCAGAATACATCTTTCTATTTGCTTCACATAAGTGGCCTTCTTAGAAGGCGAGATATTTTCTGGATTGGAGTTTGTGTCTACAGCAGATCCTCTTATTACAGCTTTAACTGGTGACTTTAACAAATTAAGATGCTCTTCGACCTGAAAAAAGTGTAATATGCACCATCAATGCATTCTGCTGAACCTGTCGACTTTTATTTTCAGTATTCTGTTGATGAAGTTTTCGGAGAGCTCCCTTTTCAGCTAAAGCTGCTTGCAATTGAGCAACTGTTCTAATCTTGACAGAGCCTTTCTTTGTTGCTGAAGGACAGAAACGCCGGGTTTGGTATTGAAAAAATGAGGAGCTAACCGGTCTTCACAGGACATTCTAAGCTGACGCACGTATCCGATTCATTAGGCTTATCGATAAAGAGAGTTTTTCTAGCATTTGATGCTTTTGAAATAGGAGAACTGTTGGGAGTTGGTGTCTACAACTTTATATTAATATTCAAATCAACTGGAAAGGCGTACCTTACGAGCCCTTCGTGGTGGTGATTGAGGAACAGGGCAGCTCTCAGATTGAACTCCTATAGCCTAAAATTTTCAGTGTAAATAGTTGCTTTCACGCTAACCTTAATGGAGTAAGAAGGGTCTGAAAGTGCAAATCCCGCAGAGTCTCCTGCTTGATTTAATTCTTTTTTAACTCTTTTCGTTATACTTTTCACAGGCTGTACAACATTCTTTAACAAATCTTATTCTAGAAACTGTAAAAAAAAAAGCTCACTTCCTCATTATTTTTGACAACTGTTGCAGCAACGTGGTTTTCAATAATTTTTTTCGTAGCTGTTCTACGATTTCTTGTCACCTGCACAGTATATGGATTGGATTGAGAGTATAAGATCTTACTGTAAAATGGTCCCGAATGCGCGGCTGTTCTTCATCAGGTATGACAAGCTTATTTCCTCTAGATCTCGTTACCCGTTGTGACATTTTCAAAGCCTAAATTAGAACATGCAAATTAAAGTATAACCTAAAGAACGCTTTAAAGCACAACGCATATTCTTAATGACCGGCTTTTTTTTTGAACGCCTCATTTTCGCGCCAATTGCGATTGGCGCAGCATTCCTGCACTATCATTCTAGGTCACGCAAGGGTTAATAAAGAATATTTGTTGTAATTAATGAATGTTACATATCAGGACTGTGGTATGGATGTTAACCGATCTTCTACGGGATGATGTAGAAGTTGATCAAAAGGAAATTCTTGGAAAAGTGCTAATATTAGGTTCTCTGTTGAAAAATACACAATTGGTTTCCTTATCTCTAGAATTCTTATCACCCCATTTATCTTCTTCACTGGTTATTTTGAGAATACAATAAGTTTCTACCTTTGTGTGTTCTCGAATGCCTAAATGTTTTCAGATGTTTTTTTCTGTGTATTCCTAAATTTGCATATTTGAAAGATGACAATCAGCCAAAAGACAGAAAAACGAATATTGAATGATAAACACAAGAAGATTCGTTGGCTGTTTGTTCTCTTCTTATTCTCATCTTCATCTTCTTTCTAATTCTTATCATTTCAATCGATATAATCGTTTGCTTTTGAGTCATTTGTGATTTTTATATTCTAGAATAATTTTTATTTAACACAAAAAAAAACAATAATCAATAGAACTAGAAAGTCATTAAAGGCGTGTCAGTTCTGTCACCATTTTGATTTCAAGTAATCAATCATGTTGCTAAGACGTTTATCATTCGTTGATATTCATTAACTTTTTGTTAACAACTCCTATTATTTTTTCTTTCATTACCTTTTCTCTTCATTCAATCCATTCATTACAATGTCCTCACCCGAAAGAGTTTTTATGGAAAATTTGTCATCTGTCTGTCGATAAGGAGACAATTTCATCGGTTACTTCAAATAGCTCGATGAATTGTTGTCGGTTCTTCCAAAAAACAGAAAGAAACTGTCTGACATCTGTATTTTTAACAGGTGTCGCAGACAAATGTCCTTTTCCTTTTTCCGGATTGTCATTGTTTCGTTCCGTGTGTCTCAGAGTATTATTACCGTCATAACTTTTCAAAAAATCTTTATTTCAGTATTCTTTGTGGGAAAAGCGGCTAACTGATTGTGTATAATGCTTCGCTAGATGTTGACAAATGATTTTTTTTTGGGTTTTATAATATCTTGGCAGACGATATGTGGTAAAGCTTGCTTTCTGAGTACCACACATTATTTTTTGAAAGCGTACCAAAGTTGTCCAATTGAGGAGTGCACTCAATGGTTTTCTAGAACGAAAGATTACGAATATCTAGTTGAATCTTCATCTGAACGCTACTGTCAAGTAAGTTAAGTATTTCAAAGTTTCTTTCTGTATTTCTAGGTTTTACAAACATATATCAAGTGTCTGAATGACAGTATTCCTTTCTGTCGAGGGCATTTGAAGTTTCATTCAATTGAATACCTTATGAAAAAGCAGTGGAATGAGCTGAACTGCTCTAAAGTTCAGCTTCAATCTGCAGCAGAGAGCTATCATAACAGGTTTCAGGTTTTTAATTTTTTTCATCATTCTGTTTCAGATGTCATTTTTTACCCGCACCAGCGCAGAGAAACATTCGTTATTGCTCCGTGTACGGTCAACTACATGTCCGTAAATTTGATGGCTTCTGGAGCTCTTGCACCAATCCTGGCGCTTTGGCAGTCACTGACAATCGGTTTTCTATATTGATAACTATGTGAAGAAAAACGTTTTTAGGTATTTTATTGTTCAAATCACGGACTCTCGTTCCAACAATCAACAATATCTCTCCCATATAACTCAGGTAGAGAGAAATGTTTATGAAATGACTGTGTTTTTTAAGGTAACAGTCATTCTGCGGCCTCATAACTGCACATTATCAAAGCAATTAACTTACTCAACCTCATTGGAGGATACTAATCTTCCAATTTCTTTTATGAGCGGAGTTACATCTGTCAACGTGGATGGAAACCGTAGAGCTATAGAAGTATGTTTCTTTTTCATTTATATCAATTTATTATGCCTAGGTTTTACGCCAATCAGTAGATTATATCGAGTTAAACTTGAGATATATTGATTCTTCTATTCATATAAGGAGAAGAGGAAATTATATGAGTGTATCTGTTCGTTCACCACAGTTTGTATTGCAAGTGAGTTTTATTTTGCAACTTGTTCCCTAATGGCAAGTTTATTAGTCGTCTTCGTCTACTTCTTCACAACTTTGCTTATCTGGATGTCATCCAAGCTTTGTAAGCCCATTGAAATCAATGATTTCCATGCCTGAAGAGTTTAGTACTTGTCAAGAAATCCCATTGAAGATTTCAAAATCTGCAGCTTTAGGTTTGAATATTTTTAAAAAGCGATAAATATGTTTTTCAGAACGATGTCAAAGAAAAAACTTGACAGATTCATTCTTAGATACTTGTATATATGATGTTTTGTTGACAGGTATGAGCTTACCTTTCTCTTCTCTTAACGTGTTCATCTCAAATTTTCCAGATAACGAAGACATTTTATCGCTTACATATGATGTTCAGCAAGATTTTAAAAGAGTTTTCCCACTTCATTATCATTACACAACCGGGCGACAGCATATTCTTCACGAGAATTATACTGAAAACTTTGGAGGCAATTGTATTCTATTACAGAAAAGTTCCTGTACTTTGCAAATTTCACTTTTTTTACTCATATTCTTTTATCATATCTCGATCTCATGACATTCCTTAATGGTGTATTATATCGTTTGATCAATGCATAATTCAGTACAGTTCAGAGCTTCATTAACAAGTATTTTCCAAAAAACGTATACAGAAGGAAAATGAAAGAATCTGGAGTTATTAAAAAATATGCAATAAATACAAAATAACAAAAAAAAATAAAAGCATACCGGAATACTTCATCCATTCAATCGTTTTTTAGATCCGAATAATGAATTTTTCAAACGTGTTCCTATTCCACTATTACTTCCACGCTCAGATTTTACTGCAGACGAAGACGAGTTCGATGACGTTAGACCTTCTGTATTTTTTTATTGTTAATTAATATTTTCAAGATGCTTACTTCCATTTGATTGTAAAATTTGCTTATTCCAAGGCTCCGAACTCATACTATTGCTTTTTTGAAGAATTCCTTGATGCAATTGAGTTTCATTGGCTACCTATAATGACACAAAGAAAAAGTTCCATCTCTGTTTGGCGTTTTACTTTATTTAGGGATATAAGACTAGCAGCACTGCCAGGCGGCCGGTTAGTTCGTCCTCCTATTTTCCGCAGAAAACTACCGATGCGTGTTCCTTTTGCATTTCCAGGGGTCCTCGTTGATATAGAAGCAACATCCATATCAGAACCATGAGAAAATCTTCGCTCATCGTACTGAAGATTGATTATTGATCATACAGTGGGTATAAAACGCGTACAACTCCAATGTTATCATAAAACCCATCATCTTCATCATCTATCGATGGAGCTCGTGATGAAATAGATTGATGGCCTACTAAAGAACTTCTTCGAGTCATCTGATTACCACCAGCCATTGAACTATTTGAAGAATAATAACCTCCATTTGTTGATGAGGTAGCTGAACCTTAACATTTTTAATTGAAACTTCAATGAGGTTTTCCGTTCAAACTATTTCTGATATTATTGTTCGCTGGTGGGAACTGTGGAGGTTGACTGGAAGGGTAGGCAGGTGCAATAGGATCAATAGAAGGCGAGGCTTTGCGGGTTGAAGTAGTTTGAAGAACTTGTCGTGGTGGAGAGACTTTCTGAAAAGAGTTTATTTACTACTCAAACGCTACGTTAAGAAGTGTTACCCTATAAGGCTTCACTGCAAAATCCGCAATGTCATAATAACTTTCTTCATCATATGGTGGCTTCATAGTATTATTATTATTATTATTATTATTATTATTATTATTAGTGGATGCTGGTTGTTGAGCAATGCGACGAAAAGGCTGAGGGCCTGTCCTCCATGCAGAATGTGCATTGGAGTTGCCTGAAATTAGAGGATAAAATGAATACCGTCAGAAAATAGAGCCGAAATCAACTAAGAATTAACTGAGATGAAGCTTAAGTAACCAAAAAGAAAAAGCGAATCGGGTAACTGCGTGAATCAAAAATTTCGCGGTTTAGTGTTAAATAAAGTGATTAAGTATAACTGATTTGAACTGAAAGCTTTAGGCTAATTACGAAGTTAAATATTTCATTCAGCTTGAAATGAAAAGTGAGAATGTGGAATAGTCATGTGCTTTTTTACCTTCAACTTTGAATTATCAACGACAACAATCAGCAGATATGCTGGTCTGTAATTATAGAATTCCAAAAAATTAAAAATCACTTTTGAGATGAACTTTTCTAATAAGATGAGTTTCAAACTGAAGCGTATGTTTGCGCGTAAACTAATGAACACTACATCTATAAACCTGTTAACGGCTAAGAAATTGACAACCATGTCATAATATTATCAAATACTAATATCATTAATAGAAACCCAAACGTGGCTATGCTTCTAGAATAACATTAACGAACCATTTTTAGTTTTTGTACTACCTCCTCGTTCAAACATATTATGCATGGCTTCAACTCGGCTAGGATTTATTTTCTCTTGATTAATAGTTTCGAACGGATTAAGTTGATCTAAGAATGTGAACTCTTTGAAATGATGTTCTATAAAATCTTACTGCCGGTATTCGTGTTACTGTTGGTTTGTTTCCTTCTTAGTTGGACATTACTATTATTCATATCCCCTACCACATTGTTCAATAAAGATGTTACTTCATCTAAGCTTTTATGATTCAAGTTTAAGTTCTGGAAAAAATATAGTTCTCAATCCATTTTAAAATGATTGCTCACTCTGTTGGTTAGATTTGATTTAACTGGAGCAGCTGGAGCGTGATAAGACGTCCGAACACCAGCACTTAAATCAAATTTTGAAAGTGATACTATAGAGTGAACAGCTGGTTTTTATCTTCTGATTCCGTATTTTAAAATAAACTATAACCGAACAAACCCTGTAGTTCGATCTCTTTGAGAGTTGTTTCGCGAGAGGGAATTGACTTCTGATTCTAAACTTGTTGGGAATGACCTGCGTTTATCGTTCGCGAGAGTTTGCTAGAGATCAAGCTATGTTAAAAACTTTTGAGAGAAAAACATACTTGTGTTTCTGTATTTAGTTCGAGATCAGCAACTAACTGATCGATCGAGAGTGGGGGTTGCTGATGTTCACGTCTCGATACAGAGTTGGCTCGAACATTTGATGCATCTGGTAAAGAACGTAAAGAAGCTCTAAGACTGCTTCCACGGTTGCCAAGAGCTTGGAAAGCTGAAGGGGATGGTCTGAATTCCGCATCGGAGCGGACTGATTGTAATGTATGATAGGGTTCCTAACAAAAAACAGTTAAAATAAACCATTACGAATGAAAAAAACACCTGTGATCCTGACCGCCAATAGTGATTATCATTTGAGCGTTTCTCAGGAGACATATGATCGAAGGAAGCAACTCGTTGTAGGGAAGATGAGCTGGTGAAGCGACTATCGATATCGACAGGGAAATGCCGAGTCCTAAACATGAAATCCGTTCAATGTAATTTGTTGCATTTAATTGAACACACCCATTACTTGATCCTGCTGCTCCAATGTAGCCGGGTTGCGGTCGGAAGGGTTGAGGACGAATAGGAGCAGGCTGGTTCTGAGGTAAGATAATTTGCGGTTGTTTACTGAAATGTGTAGAATGATTATTATCATCTTTAGCAGAAGAAAAACGTTGTTCTTTTTATTTTGTCCACATTGATCGCAGCTACTTCAGCTGAACAACTTCCGAGAGAATGTTCATCTTCATCCAAGTAAGTACCCTGAAAAGAATATCTAAAGGAGGCAGAAAAAGGAGCAGATCTACAAAGGATCAAACGGGGAAGTAAAGATTTCTAACTGAATAAGTGAGCCACCACAAATTGAATTGAATAGCCAGAAAACGAGACTCATACTTTAGAATTATCAAACATACCGAGTCGGATATCAGGTTGACTGGACCGTTATGAGCTAGTGATGATAAATCGTTGTGGAGCCATCTTTTTTGAGAGGAACATTATTTGTTTTTAGCTATGATCAATTTATACCTGCGTGTGAAGTCCAGTTTGTCGGTCTTCTTAGGCAAAACAATAGTTTCTGAGACTGCGTAATCTATCGGAGGTTCTGATGTGTCTTTCGATGGTTTGGATGCCTTGAGACTATTCGAGGATGTCATCCCCGCTGCGATTACAACGTCCAAGGGTGATGGAGGCTGTAAAAAAACGGATAAAAGTCCGATCTTAAACTGAGTTTTTGCTTTAGCTTTTTATTCAACAAAAAATCAAAACAATGTTACTACCTTCATAATTTTGTTCTTATTCCCTCGTGTTGGTAAACTGTTAGTTTTCAAACTGTTCGAATTAATCTGACCAACTGTTGGTGCATTTGTAGCGTTAGGTTTTCTAGAACAAAGAATGAGTGAAAATCACGGGCAAATAATATTTTGAGGTAATTTAAACTTTGAAGATCTGATTGTGTCAGTGCGCACATCAGTGCGTGTGAACTAACCATATGATACTATTTGAGATAAAAAAATGTATGTATTACTTGACTGAGATACTCTCTTTCTTAGTAGATAGAGTGGGTACAGGCTGAGTCATGATTGATGCATTGACTGGCTTTGAAGGTTTGACTGATACTTCTTCTGTTGGCTGGAAACAGCGCATTTTCTTGACTTAAGCCCTATACGAACCTCGCATTCTTTTTTCAGGTCTTCGAAGATTTGATCTAAATAGTCAATGGCTTCTTTGAATTTACTTCGGTGTTGATGATGTCTATGACGAGCCTGATCGATGACTTGGTCCAATTGCTTCGAGGCTGTTTCAAGAACTCCGCTGTAAAAATTTGTGACGTTGGAATTATTATTCAAGAGGAATTAACACTTGAAAGTGCTGCTGTTTTTTTTTTAAATCATGAATTAATATACCGTGTTTTCTGCTTTGGAAAAAAGTATTTAGAATAGAAAAAGAAAACGAAGAAAAATGTGCTGATTAGGGTGATTGGTGAAAATATCATAGGAAAAACCATCTTTTGTTACGATGATACATTTTTTTTGGCAGAATAAAACAAAATTTGTATTCTTTGGAGCATTATCATGAATAATAACAGAATACTATTCAGCTTTGAACTGTTAGGAAATGATGCAACACTCTTGAAAACAGTTGCTGTCACAAGTTTACACTCAGGTATAGAGAGTGGGAGAAAGAGGGGAGGTGAAAGAGAGTATGATTATATCTTGTATGACAAAATATACTAGGAAAGGGGATGATTTACTAGTTTCCAAAATAAATTTTTCCGAATTCTTAGCTATAAGGTATTATTACCTGGTTATGAGCAGCGTTGGTACCATGGTCATCAAAAATGTGAATATCAAAAGTAAAGTAAAGAGGAAAAGAAAGGGGAGAAAAACTTGTGATGTTCTCCGAGGAAATCATATGACATTTTGTCAGTTAAAAAGATTAAAGTCCGATGAAATAACGACATTAATGAGAAGAAGTTTCTCAAAGTCAAAAGTATGATAAAATTAATACCTCTGAGAGCTGTCAACGCTGGCAGCACTTTGACGACCACTACCGTCTCCACGCAAGACAGGAATATGAGCAGCGTATCTATATGACTCCAAGTCTTTCCAATAAAATAAAAATGGATTATACCTTTCGTGTCGTCCAAGTCCTTGTTGTTTTTCTGCTAGTGCAGCTTCAAATGCTGATGAGATGGAATTCATACTGTCAGAGCCACGTCGGGTTTGTTCACTGCTCTGTAAAACACAACTTTATTATTCGATTATTATCAACAACAAAAAATGAACACTGGAAACTGTAAAAAATTCTTTAAACTGGAACTAATTTTTGCTTCGAAAGTTTCAATAATATCATTCAAGTGAGATAGCGAGAGATGATGAAGCTTAAATAAATACTATTTCTTAATAAAAATCTATAGATAGAAAAATAACATACAAGAACGGAGAGATTTAGAATAAAACAAAAGAAGATGAACAGAACAGTTTATAAGAAAGATTGAATTCATAGCTTTTCTTGTTAATCATGCAATAACAGTACAAATAGGAATTGATCTAAAAGTTGTGGAACAGTACCTGTTTGAAATCATCTGATGTTGTAGAATTAATGGAAGCTTTTCGAATAGCATTAGCTTGCATTTGCATTCTTTCTTCGAATGCACTTTTAGGTGCCTCGAATTGTATTGGACGAGCACATTGTATTCGGGCGGTATTTGCTCTAGATCAAGAACGGAAAATATTAGGAATGTGAAATGAAATAATGAAAAACCTTAAAAAAGCTTGAGGAGTTGAGTTGAAGTTATTATAATTGGTTGCCGGCTGGATAGAATCTAATAGCATCACAGCTCCAGATGTTGTTGGAGTTGCTGAAGTTGTGGCTGGTTCTATAGAATGATTCCTACTTGGAGTTGTTATGTATGGATGACCATATGATGACGGATTGACTACTCGAGCTGTAAAACATAACTTTTAACCATTAGTGATAAAACTGCTAACCAGTGCAAGCTGGTAGAAGCTCAGACTTAGTTGATGGGCAAGGGGAGCCTCTGTCAGAAGACTCGTCTCGTTCTTGGATCGGTTCAGAATGCAACCGTTCTAAGCGTCCTCGCTTCCTTGATAAAAAAATTATAGTTGGTTATTGAATGCAGATTTGTTCTATACCTCCGGACGTATTCTTCTAATATTGATTTATCCGGAAGAATAAGATTTCCGGAACTCTCAAGATCGTCCTGAAAAAAACTAATCACACAATCATATTTCTCCAAAAAATAGAGTATAAACTGAAAAATCACGATACATGATCGCATGTGAGGTTAGCATCGTAACAGCTGTGTTCAACGAAAGAAAAGTTCCTTGGATAGAATTTTTTTCTTATTTTTCAATCATATCTTTATGTCATTCTAATAAATGAAAAATGTTTTTCTTTCCCCCGGAGTTTTCAAATCATGAGCCTCTCGAGAAGTTTCTCCATTGAATGGCTTTGCATTTCGAAAACATATGGAACCCTCTCATTAAAGTAAATTTACGATAATTTCTCACAGATATTTAGTGTCAACCGCTTACTTTCAAATTTCCCAGAGTACGAAACATAAACAAATGCATTTTACCGAAACGAAGAAAAACAATTTTTAAAGAAGAGAAAAAGGAAAGTTGTAGGCAAAGTCCGATCGAACTGGAATGTTTTGCAGTTGCAGCTTCTCGGGAGTACACACCACAAGGGGAAAGATTCGTGTAACAATCAGTTGAAGGGATAGGAAACTAAGATACGCAAAGAGCGACAGAAGACAGAGAAAAATTTGGTAACTTAAGAGAGATTAGGATAACACAATGAAGATAGAGATAGAGGCGAGATATTATGTTAATATATGAGAATGTAACGATAGAGAGAAGAAAATGGAAGGCATAGTCGTTCTGTGACTTGTCCTCACTTTGCTTCCACCTTATATCTCTCGTTCGTTGCTCATTTTCTCTAAGTATTTCTCCAAGTATCTCTACTTTTTTTTCTGTTTTCATCTTCTCTCTTCTCTTCTTCTTGCTCACATCTTAATATCCGTTCGGAGTCAATTCATATGCTCCCCTCTTTCTGAATTTTCATTAATCTCTGCTTTAGCGTAACAGAAAGAGAGACAGAGTGGTCATTCAGCATCATGATTTCGTTTTTCATTTGAATATAGTTTTCTGTTTCAAAAAAAACATACGCGGTTCCAATCCATACATGGTTCAGTGTAACGCATTTCGTCCAAAAAATCTGCAGCTCTAGATGATGATCGCCGTAAATCCTGTAATAACATCTTTCAGTCTTTTTTTATCTCAAAGAGAAACGGTGAATTGTAAGTATAGTCGTACTTCCGTAGTCACTGAGGCATAGTCCGGGGTTTTGCCATTATCAGAAATAATTATAGGTCCCAATCTGGAGAAAATGAATCTAATTTTTTGAACAAGGTTAGTTAGTTATACAGTTCTTTTGCTTGTAGTTTAATTTTTTTCCTGATTTTGCTAATAGTCACTCCCTTTTGAGGAGTATCCACAATAACCTATAAACATTTTGTTAAAATGAAAAAAAGGTATTGCCTTCACGGCACTATTGAGCAAGAAAAAGATAATAGGTCAGGCGTTTCAATGAATGGAAAAGAAATAAAGTACCTGAGCACCAGATGATTGCTCTTTTTGGAGTATTTCTTTCTCCATTTGAGCATAATATGTTTTAGGTTCGGTGTAACTCGAACAAATCACACTTTTAGTTTTTCTGTGAAAAAAACATGCAGAAAAGAATGCAAAATAAGACTTACAGTGGAATTTTCAACGTTCTCGATGTATTGGAAGATACAGCTTTTTTTTCCAGATTTTTTTGGCATCCGACTTCACGCAATGTTGGAACTGAACGAATTTTCCGCAGCGAAACCTTCTTTCTGAAAGTTATTACATAGAACATCTTGATGATTCTAAAAATCACGATCAACTTCTCACATCTCATACATACACAGAAGAAGATTGAGAGGATCGAGAAGAAGCTAATATTTCTCTTGTAAGAACATGAATAAACAAATAGTAACTTATCGATTCTCTACAAGCCTTTATACTATTTCATAAAAATCTCAAGTCTCATAGAAGGATTCAACTCATTGATTTTCGGTACGTGAACAGTAATTTATAATCATAGACGGGATTCGATCCACTAACTGTCTGCTTATGGCTAATTCTTACACCACTAGGACAGTCAGTGACCTAGCGCACTTATGTTACTTTCACTATCATTACGGTTTGTGAATAAATACATCAAACAAACTCACTTAGGCGATTCTTTAAATATTTTTAAATCACCAGCTGAGCTACTAAACTTGTTAAACGACTTAGAAATCTAGAAAAAAAAAGTAAACTCAGGATAAATTGTAAGCAAACCGTGATATTCTTGTCATTATCAAGTTTTGTGGGAGAAGTTTGGGTTACCTTCAACACTTTTTTGGGCAGAACCTAAGTTTCGAAAATAATTTCAAACTTCTAAGCCAATCATACTCTTTTGCTTTTGATATCCATATTATCTGTTCCTTCACCCAAGTTGGTTTCAGCTTTGGCTGTTTTCTTTGGAGCCTTGGGGGTTTTCAATTTTTTAGAAGATGTCTCTTTAGCCTTTATTCTTACAACTTTGAATGTAGATGCAGCCTCTTCTTGTCTTAAAGCGTTAATTTAGATAAAGATTGAAAAAAATCCTAACTTTTCAAACGATTTGTTCCTACTAATATTTTCCTCGCCTCCAGTCATATTCCATAGTCCTGGTACAGGAGCAAGTCGTTTAACCATTGGCTGAAAATATTTTGTAGAAAGCGTGTAAACTCAAGGATAAACCTTAAATGGTTTGAAGTGAGCAATCGCACTATATTGAGATTCATCATCTTGTGTATCCTAAATGAGAAAAATGTTCAGTTAGAAGCAGACTACAATCTGCTTAATGAAAAAAACTAGAAACTGACCTCACAGCTATCGAAAGTGAGATCATCTATATTGTCAAGTGAGTTAGACTGAAATGTTAGAAGAAACTTAAATTCTATAGATTATGCGCTATTTGCGTTTTTGTGAGCATTATATCAAAACATGCAGAATGAAAGACATAATACGTACTCCTACAAGGATTTTCTTCTTATCCTCTTCTGAAGGCGCTGTTTTAAAACTAGGAGATCTGATACTTGAAACAGATTCGGACTTTGAAATTCCGGCTACTTCCACAACAGACGGACTTTCTGAAAAAAGTATATTAGAGCTTTGCTACTAAAATAAAGCAATCACTAATGATTTTTGTTTTAGAAGGAACTCTTGATAGAGCATTTGATTTTGAAAACTTTCTCGTTGCCCTAGGAGTTGATGGGCATGACGCCAGTTGTTCCTCTTTATTAGCCAAATCAACTAACTGGTTAGTAAGCTCTATTTACAAACGATATTAAAACAAAGAGAAAGAAAAAAAAGATAAAACCTGCTACGGTATCTCCGGGCTCTAACTTGACACTGAAAATGAAAAGAAATTCTTTAGACTTGAAAGTTTTTACTAACTTTTCGTTGTTCAGCAAAACTCGAGCAGCCTGAAATGATTATTAAAGAAAAGTATTACTCAATGACTAAAAAAATAAAAGTTACTTTTCGGTTGAATATTTTAAAACTTCTCAGAAAATACAGCACTATGAATACATAGGTAATCATTGATTATTATAACTATATAGATAGTCTGCTGTTAGCACTTCATGTGTAATGCTAACAAGAGAGCATGTTGGAGTGTGTGTGTATTATTTATAGAAAGATAACAAAAAATGTTTTGAAGTAACATACCGCTCCAGGCACCCTATCTGGAAAAGTAAATCATTAAGTTTTCGATGATACTTGCTTCACTTTTTGATTTCTTTCTCCTTTGTCTACGAGTTTCTTCTTTGAACTGAACATCTTCTTCACTGGAAGATGTTTCTAAGTTTAGACTCTGTTGTCGAGAGTTTCGCCGGGCTGCTATGAATACACTTAGATAATTCAATTCATAAAGCAGAAATACTTCTCTCTTTGCTGCTGAATCGCTTTTTTTCACAATCTTGTTCTTTACTACTCTCTCGTATCGAAGGATTTGTAGGTATTGCTGAAACCCCTTTATCTCTAGCATCATCCCGATTAGTATCAGGTTCAAGACTTGGTTCTCTAAAACAACTAAAAACTAGCGGGAAGCTCATAACCCTCGAACCTGTCTAGAGCCGCACTGTGAGATAAGCGTGAAGAGGAGGTGTTTCTGAATACATCACTTGTACTACGAATTGGAGAATAACTTCTAGATCGTGAATATTGCTAAATGTGCTAGTAGTTTTATTTCCAAACCTGGACATATACTTCGATGTAAAAGTCTCGTCCGCAGGCTTGTAACCAGAGTGGGAAGCGAACGATGATGTAAACCGCGAGTTTGGTCCGTATATGGAAGAACTTTCTCTATTGCGTGATGATGTCTGGATAAAGAGGAATTTGGTTAGAAGTCATACAATTAAAACTGAAAAAAAGCTGTCTAATCCAAGCTACGTGCAAACAATCTATTCTAAGGTGTTCTCTATTCTAAGTGTTATCCTCGGCAAAATCCGAAAAACGTGCAGAAAACTGGCAGTATGCATACTAACTTCTTTGCTGGCATATTAACACCCAAGAAGGTTTCATACAGGTGATAAAACTAAATTTTTTGACTACGCACCGCAGGAAAAGAAGAGGGAGAAGAAGAAGCACAGTTTGAATTGCTCGTTGGATTGCTTTTCGTTGAAGAACCAAAATTTCGTAGTAACAATGCCGATGACATCGGAACATCATCAACATCGCTAGTCTGTGAAAGACTATTTCGACGTGATGATGACGCTCGTCGATGTCGTGAATAAGCTTCACTCACTTCATCCCCAAGCGTAGCCCGTATTCGTTGAGATTCAGCCATTCGTTGACGCCAAGGACGTTCGGCCTTCAGCGTGCTTAAAAATAATTGTATTTAAACGTAAAAGCTGAATTATATTTGAAACACAAGTTTAGTTGAATATTCTACTCTGTATACTAAGACTATAACTATCACATACTGTCAATCGTCGTCAGTTTATGCAAATACATAGATGAGTAAAATGAAGAAAGGCATAAACTGATAGCTTTTCTTCCGAACTCAAGTTTTTCTTAACTATGTTAGTATCGCTGAGCTAATCGTAAACGTTCTCTAGTATGAACTTATAACAGTGGAAACTTACTGTATATATGGAGTTGAATAAGACCACCTGGAGATATTTCAAAAAGAACTCATCAAAGTTTTAAACATCTTTTCAATAGTTCAAAAAAATCAAGCTTACTGGGTTTGTGGAGTGGGTGATGGTGACGTATAAGATGAATTCGCCGGACGTTCATATGATGAATATCTCGATACAGATGTGGAATGAGCTCTTGGGGTAATTGTTGATGTTCGATAAGCTATAATAGGTTTCATTTCACTAAGAATGATTGTGTAATCTATTACGGTATGATGTACTCAGCGGATTGGTTGGTGTATCCAGTTTTCTCGAGTTATAGGAAGGCTCAACTGAAAGAATTCAGCTAATTTGTAGAAATGCGTGACTATTGAGTCTATACATATACAATGTATATATTATATCATTTAAGTGTATGAATTTTCTTGTCAATTGATAGAAAAGAAGAATATTAAGTTAAAACTACCAGTATTTGTAGATCCACGTTCCCTACTGGTCCATTTATTGATAAGATCCCTGGCTTCAGTACGATACTTATCTTTCTGGTCACGAACAGTACTGTCGAATCTTGAAGCCCTAACAGACACAGAAGGCCCCAAACTTGAAACAAAACATAATGAATATAGTTAGTATATGAAATTTTTAAAAAGTAAAATACTTCTATACAGAGGGATGAACTAAAGCTAAAATTAGTAAGTTCTATCAAATTTTACTCTAACTAATTGTTCTGAGAATATACCTTGTAATATTAGCTGCATGTCGAGCTGCATTACTCATCGCTATATTATAGCGACTAAAAATTCAATAAAAAATTTGAATGAATAATCACCGATAAATTTATGATAGAAATGAGTTATGTGCTTAAGCTTTTTTTCGGTAGGTTATCTTCACAGAAATTTTATTGTAATATATCATTGGAAGGGAACTTCAGGTGTAAGAATAGAAGAAAAATTGATAGAAAAACTTATTTCTCTACTGATCTTCAGACATCAAGAAAAAAACAAAATGCTTTGAGATTCACCTGGATGGCTTTGTAGAACGGCCGATGGGGGATGGAGAGTAATGAGACTTGGAAGGAGTTCTTGATTCGAACTGTGAAGCTAATGTAGATAAGCTACGATAACCTGTGCCTGTGTTTGGTTTATTCCATCGAACTGAATTCCAACTTGAAAATGATTTAATACAGATGCTACCGAGAATTTTCATATAAACCTTGTTCCATATGTGCTCGGCTCAACATTACTTGTCAGGGAGTTGGAAATGGGTGTTGAACGAGAAGCTGAGCTACCAGCTGACCATCTGTAGAGAATAGAAAGACGTTAGGAAAAGTTCAAATAATGAACCTGCGATGATAATGACCAGTACTCATAATGCGAATACTGATGAGGAAGTCCTAGTTCAGAAATATTATCTCAAGTGGTCGAGTAGTAGTTGCTATGAAAAGCTCTTTGAAAACATAAACTGAAAAAGCATTGTTAGCTAGCGAAACAATGAAACGAAAAGTTTTTGAGGTTGGCAGTTATCTAATATCCGAATTCGAGAATTTTAGTTATTGTGGAGGAAGAAATAAAACTGTTCACCAATTGATTGAAGCAACATGTGGACAAATGAAACTTTGAATATGCATAAACTTCGAGCTTGTGATGGTAATTATACAGAGTCTTACAAATGGGCAGTTGAAGACTGTTACTGTTGCAGTGATAAACTAACTCAAGCATAAACTTTGGCATGAAAAACGTAAGTAATCTGATCACAAACACCGATCAATCAGTCTTGTTGTAATTATGAATGGAGTAACTCTACCACACTTGCAATCCGCAGAGCCAATTCATTGAGATTCGTAAAACATTAATTTCCAAACAATCAAAAGAATGTGAGCCAAGGCATATTAAGTGTTTTGGAAGTAATCATTCATTGAGAAACCGTTAGAGAAACAAATAACTATATTTAAGGTAAAATTTCAAAATCAAACATCATCGGAATAGATTTTCTACTAGCTTTTCTATAGAAAGTATCAGCTGCCGATGAATATCTTTGTATCCGTTTCGCTCTTTCAGAAAAGTTTGTGTAATAAGAGCGAATTGAACAGACTCACTGAACTTCAAAATGCATGTAAATCGATTAGAAATCAATGGTTATCGAAAAAATTTATCAAATTTTAGTTGAAATTACGGAATATTCTGGGAAAAGGTAATTTCTGGAAGTGAAGAACAGGAAAAAATAACTTCACCTGAGTATGAACGCAGGAAAGGAGAAAATTTATAAATTTCTAAACTCTTCTTCTACTTTCATTCGTTCGAATATTCTGAAATGGAAGATAGAGAAATATGACTTATATGCGAGAGAACAAATAAACGATGCACTGAAGCTTATCTACTTTCATTCGAACACTTTGTAATAAGTAAAACGTAATTCTCAGAGAATTTCAACGAAAACTTGAAAGCATCTCAAATAGCATTGGAGCACCTGATGAGGAGATCCAGAAAATCAATGTCATTATAGTATCTTTACCGAATTTATTAGTAATATAATGAAATATTTCATTAAAATCTATGCAGACCAGTAAAAACATTCAGAAGTTTGAAAGAAATAGATGTGCTTGATTGATTCATGGGCAATTTCAAGAGAATCATGTTAGGACACGATACGGATGATCCTGGATTCAGAGATATAATGGAAGGGTGATTTTCCTTTTATCACCTTAACAACAGCGTTTTCAAGCATGCCCCAAGGAAGAAAAGTGGAGAAAGGGAGAGAGAGAGAGAGAAGAGAAAGAACTAGTCGTTAAATAAGAGAGGATAGTCCGATCTTGTTAATTAGCAGAATTCTTCCCTTTGTATTGTTTTCCAGCCCTATCTGCTATCATACCGCCGAAGTCGTTGTCTCTCTCTTTCTGCTTCTTCGTTCTCTCCCACAATCGAACAATTCCTCGAGTTTGTACCACTATAAGAAAAAAAAAAACGACAGAAAGAGGGATATTTCGAATAGAATTTAAACTATAATACATATATATATGTATATATATATATATACACATATATATAGGTAAAAATTGAAGGAGAAGATTTCAAAGGAAGATTGAAGTGTCGTTTGTTTAAAACTTTTCCGTCAAAAATCCCCACGTAATCGAGCCCTGAACGTGAACTTCGTGAAAAACAAAAGAAGCTCAAACAAGACATTTAGAAAGTTAGAGAGCGAAGCTGAAGATATACAGCAAAGTGTCAAATAAAAAACTACAAACACTATAAAGAAGGAAATAAACAAATAACAAACTTTATTAGATGTGGTAGAACGTCAAATAGTCTCAAAGTTGATTGGTTTGAGTTTCTGATGGAATAATGGCAAGAAAGGCAAGAACCTCGTTTCGAGTAGGAGCTCAATGTCTTTATAGAAGCGGACAGAATATATGAGACAAATCTTTATTACAAAGTTTAACAAACAATAAACAGATTAGTTGAGCCAGTTGAGATTAAGGTGAGGGAGGAAAACTTTTCATTTTCAACAAAAACTTACCGAGGTAATTGACTTAGATTCATATGTATTGGATGATTATCGTTGTTTCTGATTGTTATTGATTTCTACTTTGTTTTACAAATCTGTCAGAGGTGGTTCAGTTCTAGAGCTTGCCCAATGAATATGGCACTTTTTACATAGTAAATGGTTTCCTAGTGGATAACAGCGAGCTTCTGGTCCATCTGCTAATGCTACTCCGCAACCCTAAGAAATATTCAAAGTTATTATTTTATTTGAAATTTCCAAGATAGATCATTATCAGAGGGAAAATCAAAAATTTGTTGCTTTCTCATAAATTAAGAGATTTTTTCTTAAATAAAATCGGGAGTGCTCAAACAGGAGTTATTGCGTATGAAAAACTATAAAAGGTATTGCCAAAACCTTACTTCACAGACGTAACATTCAATATGATAACTGTTCTCCAGCGCTACAATTCGAATAGTTTCGCCTGTATCCTAGGACAAGCTTATAGTATCTATATAGGATTGAGATCAACAAACTTTTTGTGGAGTTATTGGTAAGGCACAGCGAGCGCATCGAGGAGCAAAGCGGTTATGATAGTCAGGTAAGCAATATGGCTTAAAAAAATGATGATCATACTGAATTATCATGGAATGAAACCTGAGAGTTCTTGTCAATAGAAAAAGGAATTCCATCTAGACATTTTCCACAATCCGTACAACAGAAACAAGCTGGGTGATATTTTCTGTCAAGAGCTGTTAAGATCTGAAAGCTGATCCGTGAAAAAGAAGATGAATGAGAAGATACAGAGAAAACGTAAAAACTTACCATCTCATCAATAGGCAATCGACATTTAGAACAATAAGTTTCCTTTTTTGCTACCATTTGATCATTGAAAAAATGTTGTTTGCAGAAAATACGATCATTTTGAAAATGAAATTGTTGTTCACTGTAACTCGAGAATAACTATTGGCATCACCAAGGTGAGTTACTTCAATTCTTTACCGCAAACATCACAAATGAAACATTGGGTGTGATATGTTTTATCGGAAACACTTGTGTATCCCTCTGAGCTTAGAATCAACTTATTGCAGTTGTTACAAGAGCCTTCAAAATTTTCAGCTTTTGTTCGTAAATTGAAAATTATTCAACCTACCTACTGTGTTTTTTCGCTCAATAACTAAATCCTCTTTCAATTGTTTCGTTAAAAATTCCAATTTTCGATCATCACTTTCCAGCTTTGTTGCAATATCTTTCCATTTCTGTGTATTGGTAGAAGTAATAGATCTTCAAAGTATAACATATTGCATGAATTTTAAATTATATGATACTTAAAAGCAGGGGGTCGACCGGCAGCCTTGTCATCAGTTAAACGCATTTGTTGAGTCAGGCTTGTTCCATATTTAGAAGTGTTCCCATAAGTTTTACTAGACGCAGACTAGAATTACCGACGGAAATACAATATAACGCTTTCGAAATATACCGGGCTCACTGGTGAAAAACGATTTCGCGTATCTGCAATAACAATTGGGACATTGGCCGAGTTCCGAAAAGCAGTATTGAAACTAGAAACATTGGATGTGTTGGCAGATGAATCTGTAGCAGTTGGAGAAATAGTTATAGGAGAAGCAGTTTGTGATTTATATAGAGAGGCATAATCGGAGTATCTGTAATAGTGCTCTGGTTCATATATAAAGTTCTTCCTAGGAACTCACGATGATTGACTGGGTGGGCTTGGACTTTTTTGACTTGTGGAAGAAGCTGATGAATAATCTGATGATCGCCGTTCATGGTGAGGCAATGTCTTAACACGTAATTGCTGAGGGTTTGAAATCTGAACATCATATCATATTAAATCAAAGATTGTTCGAATACCGATGCATCGTCTTCATCTTCATAAATATGTGAGGAGAGATTTACTCTGTTTTCTAATGAAAATGTTTGTTCACGAGGACTAACCGTGTCAACTGGGTGAGATGAGACTCGCGGACGACATTCTTTCAAAACCTTCGAAATAGTATGATAATTCAAATTGAAAATGAAACATACATCACTTCTCCATTTATTTGCCTCTTCTGCTTTTATTTTTTGTTTCTCCTCTCGAACGTTCCGACCTAGTTTCACCATTCCGTTATCTGCCGGAAGAATATAAGCATCTCGTAACTTCTTCAAAGATAAAAAACCTTTAAAAACACAAAAAGAATGAATGCCTACCCCTTGTCTATCTCGATTAATTTGATCCAATTTTTGTGAAATGTTTGTTGCTGAAAACTTGGCGACAATTTTTTGAGGTGGTGGTGGTTGTCCGAAGGAATCCAATTCTTGTAGGAAAACAGTAGAGTTGAATTCTGTCATTTCTACAAAAAATGTTCATGTTCTTCTGTTTAATAATCATAGAAAGTTGAGAAGTAGAGAATAATCATAGTTTGTTATTGAGTTCATATATGCTTTGTGCGAATGGAAAAATGACGCAAGTTATAGCATATCATTCTACTTTCAAAAAAGTTTTATTAGTACTATTGCCTTCAAAGAGAAGCCGATCGTGAACGGAAAAAAGGGATTAATTTGACCTGAGAGATTTGATTATATTCTTATTCCCTAATCTGACCTCTAAGAGATTCTTTTAGAGTATTTTTTTTAAATGGAGAACAAATGGATGAAAAGACATATAATTTCGTCACAGTTAACGAATGAAAATATCGAAATCGGGAGTTTAAAGCTAAAAATCTAAAAATACAGTTCGTTTGTAAAGAACTTTGTAATGAAGTCATACATGTCACGTATATGAATGGTAGAAGCATAAAGAGGGAGGACAAGTACTGGGTAAGAGGGTTATAAAGAGTAGGAAAGTAATGGAGAGAAAAGAAAAAAGAAAGAGAAACGAGATGAAAGAGAGGAGTTAGAAAGAGGTGAGTATGGAATGAATCATTAAAGAGTTAACACATAACGCATTCTGTGGTTGTCGCGTTTATGTGTCATCAACAGTATTTTCTTTATTTGGTTAAACCTATTGCTCGTCAAATGTTTGAAAATATAAGCAAAACGTTTTTATTTGAGCATTGATAACAAGAGAAAATAAAAAAGAAAGAAAAAGATAAAGAAAAGGTGGAGATACAGAGATGGGAGAAAGATTAAAAGAGTGAGAGGAAAAACATATAAAAAGAAAGGAAAATTCAACTCAAACTTCTTCAAAAAAGCGAAAAAAGTGAAAAAAAACTACAAAGCTCTATAAGGAACGATATAAGACGGAATATTTGCATAGAAGAGTGTAAGATATATGTCTATAGAAGGAATTGCTATTGGTAAGGGATAAGTATGAAGTAGGTCAAGAAAAAGCCTTGCAGATCTATTCTTTATTTTATTTATTTATAACTAGCGGTTATAATTAGGTATTTCAGAGAAAACTAATCAGAAATATGTGTGAGATGATGGTTTTCGTAAGTGTTCGAGAAAATGAGGGGAAAAACTGTCAGAACGGACAGAAAACTGTCAGCCGGATTAATAAAAACGATAGACAACCGTTTTTCGTCACAGCTGGATTTCCATAGATTGGAATTTGATGAATATTTAACTGTGAAGAAAAGAAAAATTAGAAGAGAAAGAAAGTGAATGAAAACTAATAATGAAGTGATAGTGAGAGGCAGAGATGCTTGGAAACATATATAGTGAGAGAGACGGCAGGAGTGATTTCGAAGAATTTGACCTGATTGAAATTGATACAGAGAACAGAAATAAATTGTTAATGACTCCTCTTCTTCAAAATCTTAATTTGGTGAAAAGAAAAGAAATTGTGATAATTTCAACTTTGAAATGCCCAATGACAAGAAAGAGGAAACAGATAATGAAAAATGGAAGATTATGTGAGAGAGATAAGAGAAAGAGAATGTTCAAATGGCTCAACAAACGTTTTTAATCTTCAAAAAATAAGTTTTTGTATCATAATCTTAGAGGAATGATACATTAGAGACTTGAACAAGCGTGATGCTGGTGGGAGGTTAGAGGTAAGAAAATAGGACTAAATCGGAGACATGAGAAAGGGATATTAAAAGAAGACTGTAAAGAAAACGAAAACAGTCAAGGGAAACTGAAGGAGAAGAATGATGGAGGGAATAAGAAGGTGAAATAACCAAGTGGATCGTTCAGACTCTCTTTGTATTCTTCGAGGTCTTTACAGATTGAGGAAAGAGGATTTTGTCTAAGATTCATCTGTTTCAGTGTTAATCTGAAACTAGTTATAAGCAGAGTCATCTAAATTAGCTCGCTCAAAACCGAAGAGAACAACAAAGTAATACAGAAAATGTAGAAAACCTGCACATCAAGGAATTATTCAAAAAGTTTAAAATTGAGTATACGGGAATGTGAAGGAAAAGCGATCAGTTATAAAAAAAAACAGTCCATTTTTGTGGGAGAGGGAAGGACGGTGAAAAGACAAGAAAAACGGACATTTGAAGGCGGAGTGAGGAAAACAACTGAAAAAGTGTCTTCTAGTTTGGAGAAAGACTAAGGAGATAAATATTTTCGATAAAGAACTGCTTCAGTGAATGCTTAACCAATGGAGGAAAGCTTATGATATGTAAGTGGTTATACCTTTATAGTTGTAATATTTTGTATTGTAATATTACAGATAACTTCTTATGCGTTTCTTCTTCTCATTCTTCTTACAACCACTTTTACTTAAGTTGTCTGAAATCTCCAACCCTTTTGTTCATATCTTTTCTTAATCTTTCATTTCTCTCTCATCTCTATAGGTCGTATGATGTTTCTTCTTTCAACCCTCTCTTACCTTCCTACTTTTCTCATTGGTTCATCCTGTCTATACTTGGTCAACAACAGTTCATGCCAACAGACTGCTAAATTAGCAAAATCAAGGTCGTGATTCCTTCACATTTTCGAACGCAAATTGAGAAGAAAATATTCAAGCAATAACAAAATCTTTTCTACCATGATCCCAAACAAACTCGAGAAGCTTTACAAAAATTATTTGTGAGGAACATCGAAAGGTTAGTATTTTAAGTTACAATACTTTTGCAGACATTCATTTGATTCTTCTTTTCTACTACTGTATTTGTGATCCTTGTCATTAAAAACATGTTCAATGAATTATCATTTGAAGTATTCTTGAAATAACCGTTGACTCTGGCTACATAAGATGGAAACTCAAAGGATGGACGCATCTAATCCTGGAAGATGACGAAACCATTCACAAAGACAACATTCCCATAGACGTAAAATCGATAAGGCAGCTTGCATTTTGTCGCGAACAACAGCTGATATGGAATTCCTCTTGAAAATCAACAAAAAAAATTAAAAGTTATATTTATCAGTGTCAGAAATTCCTAATAAAGATTTCGTTCACTCATGAGATAACCAAATCAATCGTATTTTCTTACTTCTTTCCTAATTTTATCGCTATTTTCAAATATGTATCAATATTCATCGACAGATTTATTGAAGATTTCTTCACAATATATATCCATATGTCCATAAATATATATACTCAAGCAATGTATGCCCTACTGCAAATTTTATGCCCTCAGGCGAGCTGTATGCTCACATCAGCTAGCGACCTCGTAAATCAATATGAAACGAATGAAATAGAGGAACAAAGCAGGGGGAACCCGCTTGCCAACTCTACTGTTCATTTTCCTATCAAATAGATGGTAAAACATACAATTATATATATATATATGTATATGTATATGTATATGTATATGTATATATATTGATTCTCGTATATCCCTGTGTCCTTTGTTCACAACAAAATTGCTTAAGTAATTTATTTGATAGGAATGCTCGAAGCTGAATTACCATCGTCATTGATTAATGACAAGACAAGGACAACAACATCCAGTAGTTCAAATGCTTTTGATATGGATGAGAATGCCTGGATTCGAGCCATAGTTGTGGTTGTTGGCTTATTAATTTTGACTGGCTTGTATTGTGGAGTCCAATGTTATAGGTAAATAATTTAAACCATCACCACCAAGTTCATTCATGTCGTTTTCCTTCTCTTACTCTGTTTTAGACGAGCTAATGCATCACGATCAAGAATCCGCAAATACGATATTGTATCAACAAGAGAACTTCAAACAGGGCTTGCCATTGATTCAGATTCTGATGATGATATTTTCGGTCCAACGTCAGATCGACAAAAGCTTTTCTCAAAAGAAAATTCTTAATTCAGTTCTTTTAGACATCTCTATTTCATTCATTTTTAGTTCAACGGGTTACAATTTTCGCTCATTACTTTTATGCAAGCGTATATTCCCTAGAACGGTTGTGCTAGTCATCCTCCAATAGTCATAATCCACGCACATATACTCACATGATCTCAAAAGCTATCTTCATTTCAAAATAAAATATCTATACAAAACTTTATTGTCTAGAGAAGAAGGAAAACAATCAACTAATCGACAGTTTTCCCAACACAACCAGATAACGGAATTTCTCAATTGTTATACATACTAAGAGTTCAAAGTTCGATAAGAAAGCTTCTTAAAGCATTTTTTCTTCGAAAAGTATTTAGTAGAATAACTGAACGAGATCTATACATCAAAGCAAAAGACCCGTGAAAAAAATAATAATAACACATGAGATTATAAAGAGCAATTTTGCCGGTACTGAGTTGGATTCAAGATTATTTGGTGAAGTTTCTCTCTTTCACTTCAAACTCATGTGAGTTCTAAGATGTGTCAGAGTGGAATTATACATATCATGAGGAGCAGTCCCATTAGTTGTTTGAGATATCTAAAAGTTTTGAAATGGATTGTTTGCTCCATTATAAATCACCTCATCATCAGATATAAGAGAATCACTGTTATCGGAAGAGTGAATCTTCTTTATATAACTTAAATTTAAATTATTGTCTACGTGATCTGATTAAACGCTGTACCTTATGTGACAATTCATTGATTGATCTGTCTGAGTTGAAGAGGCCTAAGTTTCAAATACTCGTAAAAATCATATCGATTCACTTTACCTTGATTTGCTTAGATACAACTTTGATGTTCTGCCTGGCTATTCGTTTTTCTTTTTGTGATTTATTTTGAGAGTTGTGCTTTGGAGGCTCATATTGTGAAGGATCGATGTCATCTTCCTCCGAATCCCAATAAATGAAACTGATTACAGCCCATAGCATTCTCAATAAAACTTCAATAGCGCATGTGATCACCTGAATTCGAATTTATAACTCAGAACGTCTCGTAAAAGCTTACTCTGCCAGTTATGTAGAGACACGGAAAAACTACGAAAAATAGAATAAGCCAGAAGTAGATTGTTGGTCGATATTCTAAACAGCAGGACGGAGCGACCATTCCACTGTAATCTACATATCAGAAGTTAAGACAGTAGATTCATAGGGGAAAACTTAATTGTGATCTTCTTTTATGAGAAAGTGAATGGGAACTTCAGCTCCTGTCTGTTGATCAATAACTGTTTCAGTATGTCTTATAAGACCTGTAGCAGCAATTCCATATAAGATGCATGGGAACCCTGAAAAGCAGAAAATTGTATTTATGTATACTTTGTTTGTAAGGCAAATAGTATAAAGATTTTTTCAACCTATACTTCGAAATCGGGAAGAATAAATTTATAATTAAAAGTCTTGTGATTCAGAGGAGATGGCGAACTCACCTAAATTTATGAGCGTGATCAATTTGTAGAGGTTGTTCTCCAAACTGAGATCTTGATGTGGTCTCTTAGTACAATGATATTTGATATATGGATAACAACCAACTCTAGAAAAATATTTTAAAACTGAACGAATCGATGATGGAGACAGTGAAATTTGGAGCAACGTCAGACGAAACGACTCTTAACATATAAATTGGAAAGCTTCAAAATGATGTTTTGATAAGACAGAGTAATTCATGAGAGCGACCTGTTTTTCTTCATGCAAAGAATCGTACAAACAAGATTTCTTTTCTTAATCAACAATGTGAACGTGCAATGTGCTGTGACAATAAAATGTTGAAAGCCAGAACTTAAAGAGTATAGAATGTATTACAAATTTGAACCATTGAACAAACAGATTCAAACTGAGATAAGATAAAAGTGAACGATGTTAGACTGCCGCGAACAAGTAAATCGATGTTCTCATTGTATATAAATGGAATTCAATAGCTTTTACATGAAAGTAAACTGTTTGCAGTTGGAAAGCTTAGCTTTCCAACTGCAAACAAGGTGAAAAAAAGGAGAAAAGGTTAACGAAAATCAAAACTGAGGAGTAGGAAGAATCACGTGATTCAATAGCTCTCTGATTTCCGAGACAATAAAAGTTGAAAAATAGTCGATTTAGCTTTTGTTCAACTCTTCTTCTAAACAAACGAAACCACATGGGAAACTTTTTGAAACTTGAGTCTCCTACGCTCAGAAATTCACATGATTGAACGGCCCGCACAACAGTTTGGGATTCAGGTGAAGAGCCTTAATCGCAGTAAGGTTAAGATGAAAAATAATTGAAATCCGTTAGATATAAATCTTGGAGATTAGTATATTCAGTTGAAGAAAATTTGCACTGAAATAGCATCTGAAGATACGAAGTTTCAAAAGAATGCTAAGATTAATGATGAAAACACAAAGACTGCAGAAGAATATAGGTTATTATGGAAATTAGTAAGAAAAAAATTTTTATATATGCAGAGGTTAGAATATGGGAAACTAGGAATCTTTCGTCGACGTCGGACATAGACATTATACGCGACGCACAGTCTATGCGCTGCGTGTTAGAACGACGACAACGACAGCTGGTAGGTGACAACAACAACACAATAAGTTTTGAAAGAGGACGTTATCGAAATATTCAGAGAAGAGGAGTGTGTGAGAGATAGAATGAGTCAGGTGGGCGGTTAAAAGTAGTGTGGGCGGTTACGCAAGAAAAGACATATTAAGACATTTTGAACCATCAAAAGTGTATTACGATCATGAATTGAAGAAGCAAGAAGTTCTACCTCAGAATATGATAATTATGTCCGTCAACCTTGAAGTTAAAATGCTTCTGCCCGTAGTCATCATCCTGTATTGATCTAGAAACACAGAATATTTGAGAAAATGATTCGATATACCTATATTGAATGAAGTAAGAGGTCCAACTTGGATAACTTCTATGACGAAGATACGATCGCAGTATCGAAGAAGCTCTAGGCCGGAGTTTATAGCTCGGATTAAGAACTTGTCTATATGGATGTACAAACAAATGATACAGCATTATCTGTTCCAGTTTACTTGTTACTACGCAAAAACAAAAGAAAGATAGCTGAGAATGAAATTCAAGCGTTATATGAATGAAAACGAAGAGAAAATAAAAATTTAGTTTATTATATATGACAAAAATATTGCTATGTATGCCTGAAAGGGGTCTGTCAAGAAGGAAGAGTTATTTTCATAAAATTTTTTTGAACTTAGTCACCAACTAATACATACAACTTTTGGAAGTTACATATCATTTTGTAAAAATAAATATAAGTATATGAGCATAACCATAAAAGGCCTAGTTGAGCATAAGAGAGAAGAGAAGGATAAAACGGTCAGTCTTTCAATATATATATAACAACCTTTGATGAGGAATGTGTTAAATGAAACAGAACACAATCAAAGTGAAAACTCAAGTGAAAAATGAACACAGCCTGTATCACAAATTGCTCACAGATTTCAATAAATTAGGGTATAAAACAATTGTATTACAAGAATTTTAAAAGTATTTGTCACCTTAATAGTGACTTTATCACATTCTGTTGGTAAACATGCAAGTAGGGGTTGAGCACAGTTATTGATAGTCAATAACTTCATCGTCAGAGTCCGAGTCATCTGCTTCTTCTCGACGTTTCATTTCTCGTAGGGGTCGTTGGAGAGTGTTTCGTTGATTTGCAGGAATAACTGGAAGTATTTGCTTCAACATTTAGTTGTTTTCACCTTTACCGGTTATAATGAGATTGTGAGCGTTCGCTACCATCATATCTGTTACTTGGTCCAAAGATTTCCCAGCAACATCTATACCATTCACTTCCAGTACCTTAAAGAAAAATAAGAGAACAGCTTGTAGTTTAAAATACTGACTTCATCATTTACTCCGAGTAAGCCGGTAGACTCTGCTAAGCCACCGTCGACAAGCCGAGAAATGTAAATTCCTTGAACTTTGCAAACACCTCTCTCTGTCAATCGCATAGTTGTTCCATCTCTGCGTTACATCAAGATGTTTTCAAGTTAAGTCCCACACGGTTACTAACCTTATATAAAATCCAAGCGGTCTATCTTGACCGTGTTTGCACAAACGAACTCTCCGATGAGCTTCCGGAACAATATCAACATCAATAATGGCAGAAACCTATTAATTGTTGTCAAATGATAGTTAAAACATTCAGTCAACTTGTCTGAAGTCTTCAGGATTAGAGATCAGATAGTTTCTCTTTGGTGTTTTTTGCGCCGTAATTAGAGAAGACAAGCCTTTTTTTCTTCTGGAACGATTTAAAGCTTAGCAGAACACTGAAAAATGCTTTAAACCTATCACTATCGGTTCCATAACCATATTTTTCTTCCCATGATTCACCTTTCCTTTGTATTAGTAGTCTAAGAGTTGGTTTTGCTGACTCAAACGACTTACGTAAATTCTATTTGTGTATATATAACCATTAAATCAATCTTGAACAATAGCTAACCTCATCGTTTGTTATTGGCAGCAAATCTCCAGCGAGACTTGTATAGCACAGAGTAAATGGAACACTCTCCAACTTATGCAGCTTCTCGACTAAGCTGCGAAAAGAATCATAAGTAGGAGCATGAGGATCAGCATCCAGCGAGAATCGCCTCCATTCTGCATCAAACTTGGACTTTACCTACAACAAGAACTAACTCAGGTTAAGATGACTGATAACCTCCAAAAGTGCTGGAATTCTCAAAGATTGATGAGCATGCAAGTTGTTTAATTGTGTTCTCCCGTTCTGAACATCAGACATAATGTTCTTTCTAGAAGGAAGGTAAAAACTAACCGAATTGCGACTCTGAATAGATCCTCTACTCGAGGTTATGCCATTTGAATTATGTGACATAACTATAACACAACATGCACTAAAGAACAAGAAATGCGGAGAAGTAATGAGAGATGGAACTCAGATAATAAGAACAGTTCGATATTTCAATCACTTTTTAACAGAAAAAATCAACAAAGCATAGCAAGAAAAAAAAGATAAAACTATAAACCCGAATAAATAAAAAATTACTTCTAACGTTACCAACAGTTTAATCACTCCCAGATCCATCTGAATCCAGGCCATCCAAATCCTAAACAAAAATGTAGACTGTTTGAAAAGGAAACAAAACTCACCTCGTCATCAAACAATGTCTCATCGATTTCAACACTCTGTTCGATCAAAGCCACATCTGACAAATTGAGAGTTGCGTCTTTCAGGAAAAGATCACGACCCGTCGATTTACCAGCTAAAGCAGCTTCTCTGTCCTGATTATGGAGCATCTACTAATGAAAGAAAAAACAAAAAACCTTCTCTTGCTTCTCCACTAGAGCTCGACGCTCCAAATCAAATTTCTCCTTCCAAGAACGGAACGATTCAGGAGTGACTTGAGTTCCTTAACGAAGCGTATACTATGGTGCTAAAAAAATTAGCCAACCTTCGAACTTTTTGCGAGAAATAGCTTCAACTTCCTGTTTAGCTTTGTCAGCGTCTTGCTCAGCTTTTTTATGCAAATCTTCAATCAACATGCCGATTTCTTCCTGAAAACAGTAAATCAGCTCGAAATAAAAATAAAAACATACTTGCATGGCACTCACAATAGAAAAAACCATGACCATTCCTTTATAATTCTCTGCCTCAGCATCGAGTTTCTCAAAAAAAAAGTATGTAATTTTTTTTTGTTTCAAAGCAACAACATTTGAAATCTCTTCAATACGTTCATCTGGGAAAATTCCGTCCAAACCTTCCACTGATACTTCTGGAAGTTCATCAGGATAGTTCCCACCTAATTCCAGTAACAAAGAAAGCTCAAAATCATGAGCGGTAGCATCTTCTTCCTTATATAGACGTCATACTAATAAAAACAATATTATTGATAACATACCTGATTGGATTTCAAATTAACTCGAACAGCAATATTAGGATACTCGTTCGAGATAATCTCCAACTCATCCTCTGGATAGATGGCCGATAAGGCTTCTATTTCTTGCAACTGTTGCTCTTCGTAACTCATCAAAATAGGTTTTGATTCTAGAAATATGAGATGATGGTTGCCCAGAAAATCTTTACGGTTTGGATAGCGTGGATCAATTATTAAAATACATAAATTCATACATGCTGTGGTTTACAGACTTGCAGAAGGATGAGAAAATTGGAGGTGGAACGAACAACAGAAAATATTGTTGAGAGAGATCAAGAGATAGCATTTCGTTAGTGGAGAATGGAGGAAATTTTGACAGGCGAAACAGTGTACGAAAACAGAGAGCTCTAGAGAGAAATCACTGAGAAGGATCAACTAATGCAGGTTTTTCGCTGGAGGACTATTTATAGTTTAAAAAAAAACCTTTAATTTTCAAACGAATGCACCGTACATTAATTGCAGTAAATCATTCCATATATGTTCACTGGCTTAAAAATTTTATTTATAGATACTCTGTCGAATCGACAAAATCACCAACCTTTACACCCGAAAGCAAATTCTATTTAAGGTTGTAACAGCTTCCAATTCAGATTTTTGAAGAATTCATTGAGTGCCAGTCATAATATGAAGGTCGCAGCTTTTCTTTTCGTTTAATTTTTCAAACAAGGAGAGGAAGACCGTTTCTTTCCACTTGAGTTCATCAGTATATTTCACTCTCTTCTAAACATCTTATGCATGGAATCGAAGGTATGAACTCTTTTATTTTTTCTTATCTTCCAATTTCACTGCAGAGTGTTTCCATGCGGGTGAACAAGTTTTGTTGTAAGGATGGAAAAGCTGGTAGTTCGTCGGACAAAGCGGTAGGATGGTCAACCTTATTAGCTTTTATTTGTCATTTTTAGATTCTTTAACAGTTTCATAATACCAGAATTGGTGATGTGACTGAAAAAAAAACTGATGTTTTCGAATGTGGCAAACTTCGAGTACCTTCAAGCCTTTTGTGGAAGTTCATTTAGTCGGGCCTTATTTAGCAGACAAAAAACGACGAGTTTCAACAACATCA